CCAATTTGCACTACAGATACGGCCGCTTCTAGGGGTAGGGATGAATTTACTAAGACAACACACTGTCTTAGGAAACAGAGCCAAAGGGTTGTAGCTTAGACTATTCCACAACGCAGCAATCAGGTGTATGATGTGGTGAAGTGGTTTAGACAAGTTGCAACAAATGTTGAGTCTGAGAACTCAGGGGTAAGTCAGAGGTTAGCACCTCACTGACTTTTCAAAAAACAGAGAATAACAAGATCAATGCTTGGAAGCTTGGAAAAGACGTAGAAGTATGTGCTAGTCGATTTACTGTATTGCCTGCTTGCCCTTTCTTAAGGAAAGGGCAATCCTATTTATGCCAAAGGAGTGTAGTTCTCTCATTTTCCATGACTTTCCATGACTAACCAGGCTTGGTAAATGTATTAGAAATCAAGTGCGACCCACAACTAGCTTGCTAATCATGTAGTGAACGTAAGAGAATCCCATAGAACCATCTCTTGGGTTCCTAGCCTATAGGAAGTGAAAAGGAGGTCCAAGGTCAGAGTACCTATAGACAAATTATGTCATAACTTAACTAATCTTGTGGGTAACTAAGGAGCGATGACGTGTAATAAATCATAGAGGGTTGTAGAAGCTTCTAGAGCTATTGTTCATGTTCCTAGGCCTCTAGTTGGTAGAGATATGCCATGTGGTAGTATTGGCCCACCCCCTTAAGGAGGAGATTTTCTTAATAACTTGTTCAATGAGTGTCCAAATGATATGCCGTGATGTATGTAGCATAAACAGATGTAGTAGAAGAGTTTGCAGCAATCGTTGAGTAGTATTGCTTCTGTTGTTGGTGTGATAAGCCAAGATATGTATGGTGACTTGTAGGTTTGAGGAGGAGATTTCTAAGTTTGCTCTTGAGTTTGATAGCAAACTGAGTGCAACGAATGTCAGTATGACAGCAGCCTTATTGACGCGTTTTACCAAACTTTAACCTTCTTCTTCTTATACCTTCTTCTTCTTCTTTTTCTTCTGCCTTCAAACACAACCTCACAACACGACCTACCTCACAACACCACCACCATCAACACCATCAAGGTAATTCTATTGCATCCTTTACATCTGTTTTATAGTAACAATCATAGTAAGCTGACTACAATGGCTGGAAAACGGAAGGCCGACGACGAGAAGTCAACCAATAAGCACACAAAACGCGTGGAGAAAAGACGAAACGATATGAGTGAGCCTGAGCGTAAGATCGACAATGCGAAGAGGGCCGATACTGCCGCGACCGCCTACGCTGTCAAGAAGCTCCGTGGCACCCAGCAATTCAAGGACCTCAACCCTACTGAACAAGAAGAGCGAGTCAAGGCAAAGAGGGATGAAGTCAGAATCAAACGGTAAGAATCTCAACATTCTTTATAGTAATCATTATAGTAACCAGGAAACAGTGTCAGAGATGGAATCCATGCGAGTATCGTCGAGCAAAACCTTGGGATTGGAGAGGGTGGTGGGGCGTACGCACTATGGGACGATGGGAACATGGCATGGGAAACTGAGGAAGAAGTAGACGAGGTTACTCAAGAAGCGATGTGGAGGGAAGACGAGAAGGCCAATGGTTACAGGAAGGTGGACCTTGAGAACGCCCAGTTGAAGGTTGAGGGACAGGCCGATGCTACAACTAAGGTACGATCAGCAACGCTATTACGAGACCAATACTGATATGGATACAGAAATTTGAAGGTCTTGGATTCTCTATTTGGCGCCGCAAGTGGAGAGCAGCATACAAGTCAACATTGAGGCTGATGAAGAAAGTCAACACTGACCCAGATTTTATCAGCAACCTGCCCCCAGCAATCGACACAGAGACTGGGTAAGTCACTATAGTAATATTTATAGTAATCAGCTAACATCTACAGGACTTATTATGAGAAGACCCCCCCGCACCTCTACTTCACCAAGACACAGATGGCAGTTTGGCGGAACTTTGCATCATGGAGCTTCGATGGCGAACAAGTCTACCTTCCTGGCCCTGCTGACTGGTACCCTGATGGCTATGATACTGAGTTCTATGGCTTTCAGTTGGATTCTGATGCACTTGGCGCCTTTCGGGCCTGGGAGGTGTTGAGAGAAGAGACTGAGCCAGCTGAGTACAAGTGGATCCTCCCATCTGACGACAGATTGTTGCTGTTGTCCCCAACCAAGGAATCCGAGGAGCTTCTCTCCCAGTTCTACAATATGTAGATCAAGTGCTGCTTTTAGAATATACTAGATAGCCCAATGCACTACTTTCTATACTACAAGCCCTCATTGAAGTAAGTTATATACTTCAGATCATTTTTCATTGTGTCACGTGGTTAATACGGCCCGTATACGGCCAGTATACGGGCTCCGTATCGTATTAACCAGTGCCAGTGCGTATTGAGTTGAACCCGTATCGTATACGCACTGGTTACAAAAATGAACCCGTATACGGGCCGTATAATACTATCTAATACACTGTGCTTCTGCGAGCACAGCAACTCAAGTCAACAATCAATCAATATACTCGAGGCGATCATGGTGCTCACATGTTCAGACTTAGCGAGCTAGAATGGAAGCACATCGAATACATCATTGATCTTACAAGGCCATTCAACTTCTTTACAACAAACATTGGATCGTCAGCCGGACCTACTGTCTGCTATACACTTGGAGTATATCAAAAACTCTTATCAACGCTTGAAGGAACTCGGCACCGGCTACGGCATAAGACATATCCATGGGCAGCAAAGATGACTTTAGCAATCGATGCTGCAGAGAAAAAGATTAGGAAGTATTATAACAAGCTATACACAAATACTGGATCTATCTTCGCATTTGCTAGTATCTTAAATCCTAGTGTGAAGCTCTCACACTTTAACAAAAAGGTTTGCAAGCTTGACTTTTCAATACGAAATTGGGAGACAGAGTTTGAACAACAGTTTAGGACTCTTTATAAAGAGCAGTACTCTACAGTGCGAGTTGCGAGTCAATCAGGATTACGAGATGCAGATATGGATCCATTAGCCTTAGTATTGCAGCAAAGTCAGACATTAAATGGGACTCGGGGCCAGCGAGAGGAATATGTGAATGAGGCTGATCCCTATCTTGATGCTCGTAAGTTTCTGGTAATCTTCTGATAATCTTATTCTAACTTGTATAGCACATATCTACACAAAGATATTGCTATTTTGGCAACAAAAGGAAGAGCAATTTCCTGGTCTATCAGCAATGGCTCGTGATATACTTTGTATTCCTGCTGCTGAGTCTGGAGTTGAGCGAGTCTTTAGTGCCGCAAGGGACGTATGTGGCCACCGACGTCTGCGCTCTGGAAGCCATGCATATCCGATAGGTATTGGGGTTCCAGATATTTCTTTGCCAGGCCGGTCGTAGTTCCCCATATCAACGCTCTTCTCGAGACGTCGGTAGGGTAGTGGTCCTCATTGACTACAAGTCGGTCCCGAATGGACGCGCTCCATTGCATAAAGGTATGTTCTATCCCATCGCTGAGCGGCGTAATCTTCTCAGAGATGGTGGATTTCTTGTAACGGTTCGGAGGGTCCACGGTGTACTGTCGGGGTAGACCCGGGATTGAAGGAGAGCGCGCATTGTCGACAGGTGGCAGTCGAACAGTGCCGGGCGTGTTTCGCATTGTCGGTGCAGGCTGTTCGTCTTCGTCGGCCTCAATGGTGCGCACTGGGGCGTCGGCAGCCGGTGGTGGCGTAGACGGTATTCGGGTCTGGCTAGCTACGAGGCTGGCTACCATCGCCTTGAGCTCCCGCATCTCGTTCTCGAGGTTCGCTATGCGATCCGGGGGGCTTTCGGATGGCCCTGCGGTCATGCCCGCTGTGGCGGTTTGCCTAGTTGTCATTCGTAGCGGTTGACCGTCATTGTCGGGTGGTGGGTTTTGTGTCGTCTTGCGCGACATCTTGATTCGGGGGTGTATCGAGTCGCAGTCGATACGGAAGAGTTTGACTTCCGGTAGCTCGTAGCTATCAACACTCTTGTTCACAATTGCCTCTGTGCTTGAGGGGGTTCTTTAGGATCTCGTATCCTATTCGGCGCCAACGCGTCGGCGACTTTACCAGCTTGCTCTGCAGGATCAAACCCTGATCCACTGGCTGTCCGTGAGTTCTCTGGGGTCACGGCTATTTGGAGTCATCAGGTCTCTACTTCGAAATGTCACCGAGTCGCGGTCGGTGGTGTTTCGACAGTTCTCCTGAGTCGTTCCGGTTGTGGGATATTATTTAGGTACGGCCGTCCCCGGCAAGCGTGATCTTTTTTGTATAATGTAAGGACACAGGGAATACGGCTCTCCGTAGGTGCATATGGGAGTGCGAGTCGGAGGTGATGCTGTATTCTATCCTATAGGTCTACTACGAAGGATACAAAAAAGATGAAAGGGGAGCTTATAGCTTCCTACCCCTTATGTACCTAAATGGGGTCCGACTCGGCTAGGCCTTAGCGTACCGGTAGATCCACTCCCGTCTGCCGCCCGAATCGACCCCGACCCTAGAACATCTATGCTGCTATACTACTATGTCGCCTATTCCGCGTTGTCTTACGGGTCCGAGGGTACCCCGTGTAAGGAGGCATCCTTACACTTAGCATCATTTAAGGTGAGAGAGCAAGAGCTCCTAGTAAAGGCAATCGTCCTCAAGGTCCCTTATGTCCTTGCTATACTCCCTACAAATAGTGGGAAGTCGCTAAGCTATCTCCTCACTTCTTCTCTAGTCACCTCAAACGTCTCCATCATTATCCTACCCTTAGTAGGGTTAAAGCAGGACATCATGAGGAGGGCAGGGGCGTTTAATGTCCCATGCTCCATCTATGAGGGGGGGCAAAAGGGGCGAGGCAGTAAGGACAGCAACCTTACCCTCGTCTCTATAGAGAGCATAGTAAGTGAGGACTTTGTCTTCTACCTACAGAGCCTCATAGAGGATGGCAGGCTAGACAGGATTGTAGTGGACGAGTGTCACCTACTACTGTCCTCTTCAAACTACAGATCTATAATGTATAGGTTTGTAGAGATCCTCCTCCTCCCTGCACAGTTCGTCTTTCTCACAGGGACCCTACCCTTCTCTTATGAGGTTGAGCTTAAGGAGACCCTAAAGCTAGAGTCTCTTAGTGTCATAAGGGCCCCTACAAGTAGAGGGGACATCTCTTACAACACGAGGGTCTACTCCTCCCTAAGCAAGGAGGATCATGTAGAGGAGGTGAGGTCTTATGTTGAGTCTTATAGGCTTAAGCTAAGGGGCTTAAGTGATAAGATCCTCATCTTCTGTCCTACCATCTCCTCTATAGTGGAGATGGGTGATGCTATAAGCTGTCCTGTCTACTACTCCTCTTTGAAGGGGAAGGAGGAGGTCCTTCAGGACTTCTTGCAAGAGGATAGCCTTTATAGTAGAGTGCTAGTAAGTTCTAGTGCCCTAGAGGAGGGGCTAGACTACTCTAGCATAAGGCTTGTCGTGTACAAGGACTCCTCATACTCCTTCCTTAGCTTCCTGCAAGGGAGTGGTAGGGGCGGGAGGGATGGCAAGAAGTCTGCATCTATGTTCTTCTATAGCAAGGGTGAGGAGGAGGACAGGGCTAGCGACTCTCTAGACCGCTCTACTCTTAGAAAGTATCTTAGAGAGGGCGTGTGTAAGAGGAGGGTCATTGCCTCCTTCCTAGACAACACCTTCATAGACAAGTGCTCTAAGGAGGAGGAGCCTTGCTCATGCTGCCTTAGTAGGCAGCAGACCTTCTCCTCTACTATAAGTGCTATAAAGTCTTCTAGCATGTACGTAGAGCGGAATAGGGAGGAGTTTAAGGCAAGGATTAAGGAGCTCTCTTCTTCTTGCATCTACTGTTCCCTACTACAGAAGCCCCTAGGCCATATTACCTTTGAGTGTCCCTTAAGTAAGGAGATTAACAAGGCTGAGTGGCCTATTGCCTGCTCTATTAAAGATAGGAAGAAGATGCTATTAAAGGATGATAGCTGTTGCTTCTCTTGCTTCCTCCCTACTACAATCTGTAGTACAATAAAGAGGGAGCAAAGGGGGGTCCTTGCTTGCTACAACCTTAAGTTTGTCACGAGGGTCATAAGCTTGTTTTGGCATAAGCAAGAGGAGTTAGGGATCAAGGAGAGGTTTGCCATTACCTCGACCCCTAAGCACTACAACTCCTTCCTCCCTATCTTCTTCACAAAGGTCTTCTTGAAGGACTTAGACACTGAGGGCATCCTGGGTGTTAAGGTCCTCTTAGAGCTCCTTTGTGAGTAGTTAGTAAGGAGGTATATAAGGAGCCACTCTACCCCCCTTATAATACTACCAATGTAAATTAAGGAAGGGAGAGAGAGGAGAGGGTGGCTAGATTAAGGTTAACAGAGCTGCATATTCAAGTCAGCTGTTCTAGTTCCTCTATACTATAACATGCTAAGATAGAGCTCTTACATTCATTACTACTTAAATGGTAGCAGGCTAAGACCTTAGGTAAGAAAGAGTAGTAGTAAAGAGTGTTAAACAAGACTAAAAAGTAAGGGTAGTAAAGCAGGGTTTATTTAAGTTAATCCTAACCCTAACTAATCCTAAATCAGCCTAGAGGCCTTAATGGGGGTTAAACCCATAACCCCCTAGTTTAGAACTAGGGATGCTACCATTATACTATAAGGCCTCTAGATTTAGAGAGGGAGTAGAGGGAGGGGGTTATAGGGTTATAAGGCAGTTAGTAGAGTAGTAGAGAGCTATAAGCAGTAGAGAGCTAAGAGCAGGAGAGTAGAGAGCAGGCACTAACGAAAGTGTGCACCTACTATAAGGAACTGCACTCTCTGCTTTCTAAGAGCAGGAGAGCAGGAGCTGTGTACCCATCCTCTAAAGTAGAGTAGACTAGTAGGTGTTACGAATGTGTTGCTATAGAGTGTTGCTACAGAGTGTTACTACAGAGTGTTGCTATAGAGTCTCGCTATAGGGTGTTGCTATAGAGTGTTGCTATAGAGTGTTGCTACTTAATACCTCTCTACCTTACTACCTCACTACCTCTCACCTACCTCAAGAACTGGCCGTATCTCTGGCGCAAATTGGGAATCCCCACGCAAATGATCCCTGTCACGCAGGCGCGCATGGGCCATTCCTTCGCAAATATTCCTTCGCAAATTGGGGAAACCCCCCCCCCCTTTCTGGTCCCCATGCGCGCGCGCACCTCTGTATTTCTTTAGTAGAGTAATTCTGTTACCCAGCCAAAGTCCCAGCATCGGACGTACGTGATGGCAGCTACTGCCAGGTTCCCTTACCTCCGGGCGCACGGCGTGCTGCTCTGCACCAAGTGCCAGACCGGCCTCCCGCCCACGCGCGCTAGCCAGGAGAGGCACCTCAGGCAGCCACCACACCTACTGAAGGGTTCTCAGTTGCGAGCGCAGCTCGACCTCTTCGCGACATATGAGCTCCGGCTGCCGGGCGAGGTCGAGCTGCCGCATCAGCCCTGCGCACCCATTCCAGGACTGCGATGCCACGCGGCATTCGTGTGCGCCATCTGCGATGTCAACGGCCAGAGCCTGAGCCTTACGCGGTCGGAGCCAGCTATCAGGGTGCACGTGTCCAAGGAGCACGGGCAGAAGCCGGCCAGGCAGGCCGAGGGCAGGTCGTGGCGAAGGTGCACTGTCCAGACCTTCTTCGCTGAGACCCAGCACGTCCGGTACTTCGCGGTTACAGACGACGGCAGGGCGGAAGGGGACGCAGCTACTGCTGCCATTGCCCTCGAGCCGCAGGAGCAGGACTTCTTCGAGCTGGCCGAGGAGGACGCGAACATGGTCGCAGAGGACATCAAGACGGAGGCCAACAGGGTGCACGGCTTCGACAGCCACCGCTCGGCCGTGGTCCCATGGCTGGGGCGGACGGGCATCGCAAACCACGTGCGGGGCCTGCAGAAGGACGAGATGCATGCCTCCTACACGCTGCCAAAGAGCGCAGATGAGGGAGAGCCCGAGCTGTTGCTGATGCTCGAGGTCATGGACGAGATCCTCGCCGAGGCACACGGCTGGTGCTTCGACGGGCCGGACTGCATGCTGACATGGCCGAGGCAGCTCGCACTGAGCCGCTTCCGCGAAGCGCCTGCATCATCATCATCGGCGTCAGCCAGCTACAGGGCAGGCAGGGCACGTGGCTTCGACCCCAAGAAGGAGCCCTCCACACTGCGCACGAACTTTGGGTACTGGAAGCAGTTCATGACGTACTGCTACCGCGTGGCATACTGCGGCAGCCACTTCACGCCACCTACGCCTGCTGCAACGGGAGACGGGAGTGCGGACCAGGGCAGGTGCCCCGAGGACTGGATCCGGCTGACGGACGAGCAGACAGCGGCTTGGGAGGCAGCCCTGCAGTGCACCGCTGACGGAGACCGCCCAGCCCTGAACGACGGCCTCCGGTCCCTCTGCATGGCCCTCGTCTGCCACGAGTTCGGCGGCGACCGCTTCAGCTCGCCTCTCCTCAGCTTCTGCGCGATGCTCAGCGTCAAGCCGCGCACCAACTCGTGGAAGGAGCCGGGCAACTTCAACAGCTGCCTGTCCGGCCTGATCTGGGCCGTGCAGCTGCTCGTCTTCAGCACGGCCGCATACCTCGAGAGGTCGGGCGCCGGCAGCACGCTCGAGCACATCAACACCATCTGCGAGCAGTACCTGCGGCCAGACACGGAGACGCCCATGGGCGAGATACTGGGCTGGCGCCTGCTGCTGTTCGCAGTGTCGAAGGAGGGTGTGGGCTCGCACCAGGCACATTGGGACGAGGACGAGCAGATCCTCACCTACAGGGACGTCGACCTGAACATGGACGAGGTGCAGCAGCTGCTGCTGTCAGAGTTCAGGCAGGCGCAGCAGCTGCTGCACGATGAGCTCATGTTTGGCGCAACAGGCCTGCCACGGATGCACGCTTGGGCGCTTAAGGACAACCTCGATGCCGACAACTTCGGCTGGTACTTTGGCGAGCACCGGGAGAACGTGGCACTGCTGAAGCCGTTCGCGGGCTCACTGCGCAACGTTAGACAGGAGTCGCAGTCACTCCGAGCATCACTCCTCGACACCACTGATGAGGATGGAGGGGCTGATGCGAGAGTCGTGTGACGACAGAAGGCCATCGACCAGTACGAGGCTGTCGCTGACGAGTTCCTCAAGCGGCTCCTCGTCCTCATCCACATGGCCTCGGGCCAGCCGCTGCGTGAGAGCGAGCTGTTCTCCCTCACCTGGCGCAACACGCAGTGGAGACGCAGCGTCTACCTCAAGCACGGGCTCGTGATGCTGCACACGACCTACCACAAGGGCCAGCAGCAGACGGGCAAGTTCAAGGACAACATCCGCTTCCTGCCGGCCACCATCGGAGACCTCCTGCTGGACTACCTGGTCTATGTCGTGCCGCTCCGCCAGGCCTTCCTGCGCCAGTCCTCCCCACGCGCAATCATGTCCGCGTACCTGTGGTGGAAGGACGGGGCCGTGTGGGCCGACAACCGGCTGACGCGGTGCATGGAGCGGGCGTGCGTGCGGGCCAAGGTGCCACGGCTGCATATCGCCAACTGGCGCCAGATGACGGTCAACATTGTGGAGACCAAGTTTGCAGGCAAAGACCTTGCGTGCTTCGAAGGCGTCGGGGCCAACGACGACGAGGAGGACGCAGAGGAGATTGACGACGACATCCGGACCATGACGAGGCAGCGGAACCACAGCACGCGGGTGATGAACCGCAGCTACGCGAACCAGCTGAACGCGAACTTTGGGAACGTGTGGGACGGCCTCATCCGTCGGAACCTGCGCGCGTCGTCCCTGTGGAGGGAGCTGTGGGATCTCGACACAGTACTTGGGGATGCAGTCGCAGCAGCAGGGAAGAGGAAGCGCGAGGCGGCAGAGGAGGCAGAGCCAGACAGGCCACGGATGCTGAAGAGGATTGCCGTGGGCGTGCACCGGCCGCGCAAGAGGTGGTCCGCTGCAGCCCTGCTGAAGGGCGTGAGGGGGCTGTACAATGACGACAAGCTGCAGTGGAAGTCGGCCGCACAGGAGCGGGCGATGACGACCGTCATGTCGTGGACGGAGCAGGTCGTCGTCATCCTAGGCACCGGCGAGGGGAAGAGCCTGCTGTTCATGCTGCCCTGCGTCCTGCCTGATGCAGGCGTGACAATCCTCGTGCTTCCGCTCGTGTCTCTGCGTGGTGACCTGCTGCGGCGTGTGCAGGAGCTCGGGATAGACCACCTCGTGTGGGCCCCTGGCGAGGAGCGAGATGCATCGCTGGTGTTTGTCACGGTCGAGGCTGCAAGCACGTCTCAGTTCCGGGCGTATGCACACAGGCTGGCTGCGACACAGCAGCTCGGCCGCATCGTGATAGACGAGGCGCACCTCACAATCACGGCGTCCGAGTACCGTCAGGCCATGGCCGACCTCGCCCTCATCCGCAGCGTGCGCACGCAGTTCGTCTACCTGACGGCCACACTGCCGCCAACGCTGCAGGCCGCGTTCGAGAGGCAGAACAACCTCGTGAAGCCAAAGGTCGTGCGGGCCTCGACGAACAGGCGGAACCTCTCGTACCTCGTGCAGCGGGCCACAGGGCGGGGGAGCCTGCTGGAGGAGGGTGCGCGGAGAGCCAGGGACGCGTGGCAGGCGAGCGGGCTGCTCGACCAGACCCGAGACAAGATCATTCTCTACGTGCAGACACGGGAGGATGCGCAGGACCTGGGCAGCCTGCTCCGCTGCCCAGTCTACACCGCGATGGCCGGCACGGCAGAGGAGAAGCAGGAGCTGCTCAGGACATGGCTCATGACCCCAGAGCTGCCATACATTGTGGCGACATCAGCCCTCAGTGCTGGCTTCGACTACTCGCACATCCGGCTCGTCATGCACCTGGATGAGCCACGCTCCCTCGTCGACTTTGCGCAGGAGTCTGGCCGGGCCGGGCGCGATGGGACAGAGGCATACTCAGCCGTGCTCCTGCTGCACAAGTGGCAGTCGCAGGCGGGCAATGCCGGTATGGATGTCGAGACGAGGGCACTCCACCACTACCTCGAAGGCCGGGAGTGCAGGCGCACGTGTCTGAGTGCGCACCTCGACGAGGCGTCTGAGCTTCGGGAGTGCGATGGGGTGAGAGATGATGTGGCGTGCGATGTCTGCAGCAGTGGCCCCAGCCCATCACATGTGCCCCGTGACGATGCCACAGAGGCGATGCCGCACACTGGGAGTGCAGCCATTCACGAGAAGCGGCGTTTGGTGTACCTCGAGATCAGCCGTTACAAGGAGGACCTCCTCGCCGTGAAGGGGACGTGCCTGCTCTGTCGGGGGCTCGGGGAGCCTTGGGACCACCAGTTCACCAAGTGCCACCAGCGGTTCGACTTCTTCAGGGCGCGCGACCAGGCCAGAAGAAAGGGGCAGGGCTGCGGACCATGGATCTCAGCGTTCGCGGCATGCTACTGGTGCTACAACCCACAGTCGGTCTGTCAACGTGCAGACCCAGCCAGCGGCCTCGAGCAGTGCAAGTATGCAGACATCGTGATGCCGCTCTGCTATGGTGTGTTCCACAAGACCGGGGGCGAACAGTGGCTGCAGGAGAGGTTCGGTGAGCAGGCGGCGACGGCAGGGGTGGCAGGGGCGTTCAACGACGTGGACGTGTTCCTTTCATGGTGTGGGCAGATGGCCGAGTTCGCAGGTGGGAAGGGCATCTGGGGGGTAAAGATCGCAGCAGCAGCACTGCTCGAGTTCGAGGCATATTAAACTAGTGAATGGGCGTTCGACTGATAGCGCCATGTATGTATAATATAGACTGTAGCATAGAGCCATATTAATTATGTCATGAGTTGAGAAATATTATTCTCTGAAATTTAAATAAATTGGAACGGATTATAATAATCACACTCTTCGACGAGCTGTGAACTGCATCAAATTACTGATGATCACACATGCCACTAATACGGATAATCTAATTACAGCAATATAAGCTGTATATTAAACGTCGAACTCGAGATGTAGGGTTGACATCTTTTTAAGGTTTTCGCCTAACCGCGTTTGGTTGTGACACTCCCGAACATGGATCGTTGCTATGTTTAGGACATGGGCTGCCCCCTCCGCACCACCCCCAGTTGATCGGGAGCGTTTATAGACCCTCCTAGCTCGAATGCCAGACTAGCCTTTGGAATATTTCGAGGCAACACTCTCGCTCTGATACTCAGACGATTATCTTATAATTACGTACCCAGGTGAGACTGGCAAGGACGAAGCCCAACAGGCAGCTCCCATGTCCACACGACTGCCGTGGCCTCTCCGGCCAGGGTTCGAAGATGGGGCGTTTTTTAACCGAGATCACCATTTCCTTACCGAGATGCCATCGAACCCATCCCCTTTTCCATGTAACTGCGTAGCCCTCGCCCAGACGAACGCAGCCATGCTCCTCCCGGCCTCAGATCTCGACGTTTTTTTTTTCAACCCAATTTTGATGGGGTGGTCAGTCATGTGAGTTGCCACGCAGCTAGCGAGCGTGGCTCGTCTCAGTCTATATCAGAACTTCTACCGTCAAGTCCAAACTTAGTCCTCTACACATTTTTCCTTCTCTCGCGGCAACCACCCAACATTTCTTCACACTTTCTTCACACCAGCACACAGCTCAGTTTCGAGTGGCAGAGGGGCACACCATCTTGTGTCATCTGTCTTTGGGGATCCTAGACTATACCATCTTATAGTGAGGTACCATCAAAACTTGAGCTCGCGCAACAACCACCCAACATTCTTCCACACTTTCTTCACGCCAGCACACAGCTCAGTCTCGAGTGTCAGAGGGGCGCACCATCCTGTGTCATCTGCCTTTGGGGATCCTAGACTATACCATCTTATAGTGAGGTACCATCAAGACCTGAGCTCGCGACACCATGCCACCGATACCCTCCATCCAGAAGCGCCACCAGCACCACACAGCCCACTCGCCATATGAGTGGAAGGAGAGGAGGGAGTTCTCCCATAACTGGAAGGCCAAGTTCCGCGGCAATGCCCAGGTCATCACCACAGATCTCGCCTGGACCAACCTCATCACGCCACCCAACCCCAGGGTCACCACCACACTGGAGGAGGGCCTCGAGCTCAGCAAGCACCTCACGCTGCTCCAGGGCATCCCCAAGGATGGTGGGAAGGATGGCCTCGACGTCCAGCCTGTCACCGTCTTCCACTCTGCAGACGAGGACCCAGAGCAGCTCCTCGTCTACATGAGGGGGGGGCTGAGCCTCCCAGACAGGAACAAGGACCTCTGCCGCCTCATGGTTGATGCCATTGAGAAGTACACGACACTCGCGCCACCCCCAAAGCCCAGCAGTGACGAGAGGCACGAGATGGAGCAGGCCAGGAAGGCTGAGCACGAGGGGAAGAAGTGGGGAGTCTACCACCTTGGGCTGTGGCATGCCACAGGACAGCCACACACGCCTCCCACCCTCTGCTCAGACATGCGCAGGACTGGAGCGGGCTTCGGGGCCACGCTGGCCCTCTACAAGACCATGGCCCCCCTCGCGCAGACCATAGGCAGGCTCTTCCAGGAGATCGATCCCAGGGCCTACCAGCAGTACAGGCAGAACTACCTTGGCGAGTGTGCAGCCACGCCTGAGCTGGAGGTCTTCAAGTTCAGCAACAGGAGCTGCTGGCACTGCCTCGCGATCCTGATAAACGCCCAGGTTGGGCCTCACAAGGACAACCATGATGTGCTCGATGGCTGGGTCGCGATGGCCTGCTTTGGAGAGTTTGAGGGAGGGGAGCTGTGCCTGCCAGCCCTTGGCTATAGGATTCCCTTCCAGCCAGGGGATGTTGTCCTGTTCCGCTCTGCAGTCCTCGAGCACTGGATCGCGCCCTTCGAGGGCACGCGGTACTCGTGCGTCTTCTTCACGAAGCAGAGCAACTGGCAGCCAGGTGAGGAGGAGTAGAGGGCTTGTCTCCTGGTCCATTTCCGGACTCACGTTCTTGCAGGGACGGTAGGTTGACGGTCTCGCAATCGAGTGGAACGTTCGCTGACGTTTCCTGTGCAGCTTTGCAAGGGGAACAAATTGACGTACTCCGATTGTTGATCGGACTTTCGATGGTGGAGATATTCCGGTTTTGGTCGGGCGATGCATGGGAGGGGTGATTGGGGGAGCATGTTATAGGATGGATTGTAATATCCTGACGCGGCATGCAGATGGTGCGTTCGATAGCGTTAATAAAAGTGATTTGCAAGACGAATCAAATGGCGTACTCCGATTTGTGATACGAGTTGAGACGGGTGAGATATTGCAGATTTCGCTGGGGGGACAGTAGGGGTGGTGGAGCACCTACTCTGAGGGATTATAACCTTTGCAGCTACGGCGGAAACTTCACGTTCGATATCGTCATTGGAAGAGATTTGCAAGAGAAATCGAATGGCCTCTTACGATTTTTGATACGACTTGAAACGAGTGAGTTATTTCGGATTTGTTGGGCCGGGCCCAGGAAATGGGGCCCCATGGTAACATGTGAGAAGGATTCCAACTTTTGCAGCGACGTCTGAAACTTAACGTTCGGTATCGTCAATGGAAGATATTTACAAGGGGAATCGAATGGCGTATCCCAAGTTTTGATCCGAGTTCAACTGGTGAAGATATTCCGGATTTAGACGGGTGGCAGTGGGTAGGAAGGCCAAGGGGGGTGGTTACATATGAGACGTGGTATAACTTGTGCAGCAGTGCGCTGAACTTAACGTTCGATAACGTTATTGAAAGAGGATTGCAAGGGGAACAAAATGGCGTACTCCTTTTTTTGATACGAGAAAAAATGGGTTAGTTATTTCGGATTTCGTCAGGTGCTTGGTGGCTGAGGGACTGGCTGAGTATAGTTTATGAAGGCTAATAACGCCTCCAGCGATGGATCAAATCTATCGTTCGATAGGGGAAATTGGACAACGTTGCAAGACGAACAAAATGGCATACTCTGATTGTTGATATGAGTTGAAACGAACAAGTTATGGCGGATCTTCTCAGGCGGTAAGTGGCAGGGGGGGGCTGAGCATAGTTTTCAGAGGCTAATAACTTTTACAACAACAGACGAAACCAAACGTTCAGTATTGTTATTAAGGGAGATTTGCAAGCGGAATCGAATGGCGTCCTCCGATTTTTCATACGACTTGAAATGATCGTGTTATAATGGATTTCGATGGGTGGCAAGAAGAAGAGGGCATAGAACGGGAAGTGGTATAAATGCAGAGCTGAGAGGCAAGATCAAACGTTCGATATCGTAATTGAAAGAAATTTACAAGGGGAACAAAATGGCGTCTTCCGATTTACGATGCGGTTTGAAACGATGGAGATATCCCAGATTCCGCCGGGTGGCAAGGGTGCAGTATGGGCATGGCACGTGAGTGGCGATAGCTTCTGCAGCGATGGGTAGAATATAAAGTTCGATATCGTCATTGAAGGAGAATTACGAGGGGAATCAAATGACGTCTTCCGATTTTTGATACGGCTTGAAATGGCCGAGGTATTCCAGATTCCGATGGGTGGCAAAGGGTGGTGGGGGGCTAGGTATGAGAAGAGTCACATGTTCTGCAGGAGCGGGCGGAATTTATCGTTCGACACCACCATTGACAGAGGTTTACAAGCGGAACAGAATGGCTACCTCCGATTTCTGATACGAGTTTAAGTGAGAGAGTTATTTCGGATTTGTCGAGTGGTAGGGGCAGGTGGAGCCTAGGCTGCGCACTACTCGCCCAATACTCGGCTCACTCACTCAGTGGGTTACTCAGCTGGGTGAGTAGCTGAACCTTTCACTCGACTCGGTGAGTGAGGCCAATACTCAGTTACTCTGTAAAAACCCAGTGAGTACTCGGCTGTCACGTGTAAGATATATGCATTACGTGAACAGTCCCTCATACGATTAATACTGTTTTATGGTTACAGTTGTAAGTTAACTTAAAGTATTACATTTATCAGCATCACTCTACCATCTCTAATAAGCTGTGAGAACGAATCACGTATATTCCTCTATCTAAGTACCACGATTATCAGAAGATTATCAGAACACTATATTATATATGCTCAAGAACATCTTTCCACCTTGCTTGATGAGGCCGGCCAGACCTACTAATACCTAAAGTATTTATAGGGTCTTGACGAGTAGCTTGAAAGATATCAAGTAGATCTCTTCCAGTCTTCCGAGGGTGTTGGATAGGCGTTGGTGGCGAGGACGGCATATCCTTATCTTCATCGTCATGAATAGTTGGAAGTATAGGCTCCTCATTATTACCATCTTCTCTTATATCTTCATTATCTGGGATATCGTCATCTGGGATGTCGTATAAGGTCTCGTTAAGACGGTCAGCCCTATCTCTTTCTTCACCTTGTTGGTAGCGCATTTGTCGTTCTTCATGTGCAGCTTGTGATAAGTCTTGCTGTTGCTGTGGCCGCTGAGGATTAAACGAGGATATTGTACCTTTGAATATGTCTCTCGGATATGTGTATTTGATCGTGGTTCTTCTTCATCGCTGATATATTGTAACTCGATAGAATTGCACATCCGTTGTCGTTGTGCCTCATACTCTTCTTCGACTTGCTCCTCAGTCATATCAACGACGTCCATCATATCTGCAAGCTTGTCACGATGACCTTGACGATTCTTGTATTGTCGAGAGTAATATATAAGCATAATACTCTTAATCGTCTCAGGATTAAGTTGACCATGATGGACCTATTAGGATCATATTACCTTACGGGTAATGAGACCGAACAGGCCCGGAACGAATTCGACGATATGCAGATGGGCGAAAAGGGTCACTTACACGAAACCTTCCCCGAGTTCAAAGCCCGCTTCCAAAGTGCGGCGATTACGGGACAAGTATCACAATCGGAAGGTTTCGGTATATGTGGAACAAGCTCACACCGCAATTCCGCAGCCGCGTGGCGGTCATGAAGGACCAATGGAAAGGCGATTACCTCACCATGGTCCGAGCCTTAACCGCCTTCGACCAAGAGCGACGCAGGAACGGCGAGTTGAGCTCCCAGTCCAAGAGCGGCGAGTCGAGCTTCCCAGGACGGGCCCGCCTCGGCTCATCCAGGTTCCCGCCTGTGGAGGCCGCCAAGACCCAACCACCGAAGACGACAAGAAGTCCGTTGGGTTCCGTCCAGAGGACTCCTTTCATACCCACCGCCCCCAAGCCGGACATAACAGGTCGCGTGCGGACCGCCGTGCCGGCTGCGTCTGGAAACTGTCTCAAATGTGGGAAGCCCGGTCATTTCCAGGACAGGTGCCCGCTCAACCCCACAGTCAAAGAGATTGACCGCGAAGCCCCTGAACCTGAAGAGCAGTGGGAGGAGGCAGTCGAACTCCAATCGGATGCGTCCCTGGAGGAAAACGACGAGGCCTAGGGAAAGGCTCCTTCCTAGGTCTACGCAAATGTGATCTGCGAGATCTCGACCTACAAGAACTCTTGGGCGGAACCCAGTTCTTAGTCGACACGACGCTGAGTCTGAACGGACTCGGTGTGCAAACGAAGGCTCTCGCAGACACAGGAGCAAACGGATACCTCGTCATCAACAAGCCCTTCGCGCTACGACTGTCGAAGGCGCTTCAGAGCCCCATACGGAAACTGCCCTACTCTGTACCCATACGTGGTTTTCAGCGAAAAATCCAAAGTCACGTATCGGAGTATATTCGGTTGCACTTAACAGTCGAAGGACGCCGAATATATAACTGCCCCTTTGTGCTCCTGGACCTCGGAGCGCAAGATGTGATAATTGGGAGGAAGCTTTTCAGCCGCTTCCGAATACTACTCGACTCTGCAAAGAGCCGGCTAGTATGGCCAAAGGAGTACCCGCCTACTCCTAGCTGGAGCAAGGAGATCACCTTGCCCTACCACTCGCGCGAAACGTCCATTCGACATCCTTCTCACCAGTCGGATGCGAATCGTAGGGATGCCGCAATCCACCACGAAGACAGACGCCGCGCAGGCGGACGCTCGATGGAAATGAAAGTGATAATTTCGGACTCCGGAATGACCACCGACACTGCCCCGAGTACACCTCAGATCCCAGGGGTACCTTTCTTGCCACCGGGCCTGTACCAAGCTTCACGCCGGTGCACATCTGCGAGATCGGTGCAAACGCCTTCCACCACGAGATGATGCGAAGCGATGCCGAGTTCTTCCAGACCAGCCTTTACGAGATCGATCAGATCATTCGGGAAAAAGAATCTGAAGAGGATGACGAGACGATATCACTCATCCAGGAGAAACTCCCGCCTGTGCACCGAAAGTACACCGACGTCTTCTCAAAATCGGAATCTGATAAATTACCACCACACCGGGTATACGATCATAAGATACAGCTAGAGGCGCCGTTACCAAACGCTTTCTCCCCGCTCTACCGGCAAGGCACCAAAGAGCTTAAGGCTACCAAGCAATACCTGCTGGAGAACCTGGAGAAAGGCTTCATCGTCAATAGCAATAGCCCCTTTGCGTCCCCTATACTCTTCGTTAAGAAAGCGGACGGCAAACTGAGGTTCTGCATTGATTACCGCAAGCTGAACGGACTCACCCGCAACGATCCGTACCCTATACCGCGCATTGACGAACTACTTGGACGGGTGTCGAAAGCCAAGATTTTCACGAAACTAGATATCCGACAAGCCTTCCATCGCATACGAATGCACCCTGACTCCGAAGAGTATACTACCTTTCGGACTCGATATGGATCTTATAAGTGCAAGGTGCTGCCGTTCGGACTGACCAACGGCCCCGCAACGTACCAGCGCTACATGAACGACGTCCTCATGCAATACTTGGACGACTTCTGTACGGCTTACCTCGACGACATTCTCATATACTCCGAGGACCCTACGGAACATATAGAGCACGTACACAAAGTCCTACAGCGCCTTCGTGAGGCAGGGCTACAAGCCGACCTCAAGAAGTGCGAGTTCAATGTTACCCGAACTAAGTACCTGGGTTACATACTGACCACTTCTGGTGTCGAGGCGGACCCCGACAAGATCGAACCCCTTCGAAACTGGATTCGACCGACCACCGTTACCGGTGTGAAATCCTATCTAGGCTTCTGTGGGTTCTACCGCCAGTTCATACGCAATTTCGGGAAGATCGCGAAGCCCCTGACTACCATCACGAGCCCCTCGGAGCCGTTCCTATGGACTGAGGAATGTGAGAACGCCTTTGAAGAATTACGGCGGCAGCTACTAGCGGTGCAGGCACTACACCACTTCAACCCCGAATTGCCTACGAAGCTAGAGACCGACTCTTCAGACGGAGTCGTCGCCGGCGTGCTATCACAAGAGCACCCGGACCAGCTCTGGTACCCAGTGAGCTTCTACAGCCACGTCCTTACCGGCCATGAGATCAACTGGGAAATCCATGACAAGGAACTCTTCGCCATCGTGAAAGCGTTCGCGAAATGGAGACCTGAGTTGGCCTCTGTTACGCAGCGAGTCGAGGTGTATACGGACCACCGCTCGCTCGAATACTTCATGACGACGAAGGTTCTCACCGCGAAGCAGGTGCGATGGATGGAACTACTATCCGACTTCAACTTCCACATTACGTATACGGCAGGTAAGAATAACCTGAAGGCTGATATTCTGAGCCGAAGAGACCAAGACCTCGTAATGCAACAGAAAGTCAAGTTGGATAGTCGTGCGAGGGTGTTGCTTGGCCCTGCCCGCCTACACCCCCGTATCAGTGCCGAGTTGGCCGACAGTTATGTAGCATCGATCAATGCCATCGACCCCCCAAAGGCGCAGATGCCCTTCGATCTGATCGAGGCACTATGCGTAGACAACCGGAAGTCGTTCGCCGAGACACGCGCGAAACAACCCTTACCGGATGGGTACGCCCTAGCCGACCAACTCCTCCTGTACAAAGACCGCCTATGTGTGAACCGCCACACCGAGCTGTGTACGAAACTCATCCGAGAGGCGCATGACCAGGTGTCGACGGCGCACCCCAGCAGCCGGAAGACCTACCAGTTGCTTGCCCAGAAGTATCGCTGGGTCGGTATGGAAGCGGACTGCATACGGTATGTGCGTAACTGCGCGACATGCCGCCTTTCGCACACCAATGTCACAAAGCAACAGGGCTTTCTACACCCCCTACCGGTACCCGACTACCCTATGCAACACCTTACGATGGACTTCAAGGAGTTCCCAAGGGACAAGCACGGGTACGACAGCATCCTAGTGTTTATGGACCGCCTCGGGAAGAGTTCGGTGACCATACCGTGTTATAAGACTACAGATGCACGACAAATGGCGCAGCTGTTCATCGAATGGATATATCGATTCGGGCACACCCCGGTATCGATCGTCAGTGACCGCGGACCCCAATTCGTGTCATCCTTCTGGCACGAGTTCTGCCGGATCATCGGCGTCAAGATCAAGCTGTCGACAGCCTATCACAAGCAGACCGACGGGCAGACGGAAATCATGAATCGGTATATCGATCAGAGACTGAGGCCCTTCGTATCACATTACCAGGATAACTGGAGCGAGCTCATTCCCATCATGGATCGGGTGCAAATGACCCTTCCCCATGCCTCGATCGGAATGACCCCCTACCGACTCAAGTACGGAACTGATCCGCGCACCAGTTGGGACTGGGAAACCCCGAAAGCCACGACCCCTAGGGAAGTCATGAACCAGAAGGAAGCCAAAGCAGTAGCAAACCGCATGCACTCCGCATGGATTTACGCAAAGGAGAACATGGCCAAAGCACAAGAGGATATGTCTAAATACGCGAATCGACGCCGACGAGCCATTGACTGGGACGTAGGAGACAAGGTTTACCTATCGACCAAGAATCTGAAAAATCACCGCCCTAGCCGTAAGCTGGGGCAACAATGGGTCGGACCCTATACGGTACTGGAACAAATCGGACACGCCTTCCGACTAGACCTACCGAAGGGTTCCCAAATACACGATGTCTTCTCTCCAGACGTACTCATCAAGGCTCCGAATAACCCGCTGCCCGGTCAAGCAGCGCCTGAGCCAAGCAGCGAAGTCGTAGACGGCCTAGAGGAGTGGGAGGTCGAAAAGATCCTCGCCGTAAGGATCCGGCGAAAACAACTTCAATACCAGGTATCCTGGGTCGGATACGATCCGGACCCGGAATGGTACCCCGCCTCAAACTTTAAGAACTCCCCCTACAAAATCCGGGAGTTCCACGCGGAGTACCCAAACCTGCCAGGACCACCGCAGGACCTACCCGGCTGGATCACGGAATGGGAGACAGGCAAACCAAGCTACGATCACGAGAGGCACGGCAAAGCAGAGGAAAACAGCGTCGTTGCTACCTACGACACTAAACTAAACACCCTCTAAGCCAGGGCACCCTCAGAGCCGTAGCCCTTGCGGAAGCCACCCTTCCCAAACGTCTCACCGGCATCGCAACAAGCGGCTACCACCATGAGAGACGAAGGGTCGAAGTGACCCCACGTGAAAGACCACGCCCGAGTTCCCTCCGGCACAGGGCCCGTTCACCCAATCGGGTTCTCCCCATTCCCCTCCTCCTCCTCCCCCCTCTTCCTCTTCCCGCCATTGCGGGGAGCCACCGCAACAGCCCCGGCCAACTTCCCCACCGCCTTCTCCACCTTCGCGACCGCAGTCGCCACGAAGCTCACCTCCTTCCCCACCTTGTCGGTGGTTTTATCCACCGTCCCCAGCAAGGAGACGGCGCGGGCCTGCCCCGCGAGGAGCTTCCCCGTATCCTCCTTCAACCCCTCCACCGCGGCGGCGAGGTCCTACCTAGGAGTCAGACCCAGAACAAGAACAACAGAAAGGGGAAAACTTACCTTGATGGCAGCGAGGGTGGCCAGCCCCTGAATGTACTGCGCCCCCTCAAAGGGGGAGCGCAGGGCCGGCATGGCGGCGCTGGAGAGGTCGGCCACGCGCGCGACCTCCTTGTAGGTCTTGAGGGTGGTGGCCGGGACGGGAGGGGTGGCCGCTTCGGCGGCGACGATGGCGGCATATTCCTCCTCGAGGAACCAGAGAATCTATCCCCCAGAAAGTCAGCACAGGAAACCAACCACCAGACCGAACAGCACCCGAGAACTCACCGGCACACATGGTGCCTTCTGCTTCACGCAGTAGGCGCACTTGGAGCTTTTCTCGCTCCAAACGCACTCATGCTCCATGGGAGCATCGTCGGGTGTCCCAATACGGCGCACGCATCTCATACAGAGGACGCGGTACGCAGCCGGGAGGGCCCCGGGGGGCAGCAGGACGGGCATCTTCGCGAAAAGGTTTCCTACAAAACCGTCAGCCCCAAGCCCAGAAGTTATCACCTACGCGTCGGCGCGCAATCATCACCTACTCGGTCGTCTGGTTTGTTTTGTTTCCTATGAAACAATCAGATTAGTATACAGTATACGAACAAGAGGGGCTACTTACTGGATTCGGGAGGTGGGTTCGTAGGCGGTGTTGTTGTAAAAAGAAGCCTTCGAATCCTGGGTGGAATCGGTTGCTCCATAACAACCGCTTAGAACAATGAATTTCTGAGGAGTAGTAGCGCGCGCACAGTAACTAAGAAACTCGCGACGCGCAACACCACAACTGGATACTATACGGTGCCAACTCGGACCTCAACAATCCGCTTTTATTAGGAACAAAGCACGCTCCGCGATCCATCCCACGGACGCATTCAGCACCACGATCTTCGAACAAAGACTACCTAGACCATACCGACACTCGGCTACCATTCGGTCGGCACACGGAGCCACGCGCTTTGAGGACAAAGCACTCTCTCAAGGGGGGGGGTAATGTAAGGATGCCTCCTTACACGGGGTACCCTCGGACCCGTAAGACAACGCGGAATAGGCGACATAGTAGTATAGCAGCATAGATGTTCTAGGGTCGGGGTCGATTCGGGCGGCAGACGGGAGTGGATCTACCGGTACGCTAAGGCCTAGCCGAGTCGGACCCCATTTAGGTACATAAGGGGTAGGAAGCTATAAGCTCCCCTTTCATCTTTTTTGTATCCTTCGTAGTAGACCTATAGGATAGAATACAGCATCACCTCCGACTCGCACTCCCATATGCACCTACGGAGAGCCGTATTCCCTGTGTCCTTACACTAAGGGATTGCTAAGGAACTCCCGTAGCAGATAAAGGAGGGTAGTAGAGGTAGAGGTAAGGGAGCTTGACATGTTGTTGAGGTCTTCTAGCCTCACCGTCTTAGCTGCAAAGTCATCCTGCAAGGCACTCGCAATGCTAGACCTGCCCCTAAGGTGCTTTCTGCCAGAGGCTAAGGGAGGGGAGGAGGAGGTAGGACCCTTATAGAAACGCAGTGCAAGCATAGACCCCTTGGCCCTTTGCAAATCCCCTCTAAAGCTCTCATCTAGCATCTCCTTGTCCCTTAAGGCACCTGCGAAGGGGTGAGAGTTGACATCTAGATCTGAGATGTGGAAGTAGGCAAAGAACCTTAGGCAGAACTCAAGGTATCTCCTTTGCACACCCTCTCTAACATTGGAGAAGGTAGAGGTGCTCCTCCCATAATGCAGCTCCTCTACACTAGTAGAGTGGTTTATTTGCAGGGCCCTTATGTCCCTGAAGGAGTCCCCCCTTCCCTCTAGGGTGAGCGTCTCCTTATTTAGTGCCTCTCCCATAAGCTCCCTCACAACTGCTACAATGAGCTGCCTATACACTTGTATCCCTATCTTCTGTCCTAGGACTAGGTTTGTAAATGTGCTTAGCCTAATGCTGAGATGTCGAGATGTGAGGACCTGCTTCTCATGGTGGAAGAAGTAGCAGCTTAGTGGCAGCAGCCACTTATAGGAGGAGGGAGAGGATGCAGATGCAAGGTTAAGGAAGCCCACAAAGGAAGAGATGAGCGTGATGTACGGCAGGAAGACTCTAGAGGCCTCCTTGCAGAGATACCTTATGTTAGAGGTCTCCTTCTCCCTCTGCTCCTTCCCCTTATAGTAGGAGATGTTTAAGATGAAGAGGTGGCTAGCCTTGTCCAAGAACATCTCCCTCTTGTCCTTATAAGAGTTAAGGAAGCGTAGGGTAGTGAGCTCTGTCCCCCTTAAGGGTAGGCCGCTTGTAAAGTGGACGATAAGGAGGCATAGCTTTAGGAACTCCTTTACATCCCTCAAGTAGGCCCTTACCATGATGAGATCTAGCACTAGCTTGTTCTCCTTGCTTGTCTTAAAGAACTTGCCCCTTAGCAGAGCGGTCTTAAGGATGTAGTCCCTTACAAGGGCATTGTTCCTAAGAGAGGTGGGGTGGAAGTCGCGAAAGCACTGATAAGGAGAGGTGTTAGAGGCATCCTCTACTGCGCTGAACCCCTCTAGGGAGATATGCTTATACTCCTCATGAGGCATCCCTAAGAGCAGCTTCTCCCTTAAGTCTTGTAGTGAGCTAAGGATGGCCTCTTTAAACAAGTGGCGGAGGTCGTCCACACTGATAGTGACCTTCTTGTAAGAGACCGTCTCCTTAGTAGTTGAGCTAATGATGACGCTTGAGAGGGAAGACAGCTCCTTGTTCACCCTAAAGCAATAGGACCTATTATTAAGGATCTCCCCTAGCGGGGTAGGGGCACTGTTGTGGAAACAGGAGCACATCATGTCCCTTATCACAGATGTGAGGGAGCTTGAGTCGTCTCTGCTTATGACATAGGAAAAGGCATACTCGACAACTATGAGCTGCGAGCAGTAGATGAACTTGGAATACAGCTGTGAGAAGTCTAAGGAGTCCCTCATGCTAAGGTCCTCCCTTATGCTCTTACAGGCAAAGAACGAATGGATGGAGCTCTTGAACAGGTAGAGGTTTGTCTCTTGCTTAAACAGGCTAATGAGCAAGCCTAGTAGCTTCTTCTTTATAGAGGTTGAGGTAGCATCATCGTCCTTACTTAAGGATGCTACCCTCTCTAGTATAGAAACTGACTCTATGGAATTGTTTGACCCTATGGATTGGATAGAGGATGAATGAGAAGAGGAGGCTAAGGAGGCACTTGTCTCCTCATCTGTATCCTCTACACCCTCTCCCTCCCCACTGTCACTTGACATGCTAAGGTCAAAGTCCTTTGACTTTAGCTTGTTTAGCTTATGGCTTAAGGACTTCCTAATGCTGTATAAGCTTGTCCCTACCCCTCTACCCCCTTCCCTATCTTCTAGCTTTAGGGCAGCAAGGCCCTCGAGCTCTCTTAAGCACTTGCTAAGGGTAGGGGGTAAAGTGTATAGCATAGCTTTAGCTTTAGGCACTTACTATCCCTATAGCTGCGGAGGAGGAAGGCAAGGAAGGAGGCAAAGAAGTTAGAGTACAAGACCCTTGAGTTTCCCTCTAGGAGGGGCTTAAAGCCCTTATTCCTAGTCACATTAAGCTGGAAGCTGTTAAGGAGGTTCAGGTGCACCCTATTAAGGAGGAGGCTCTTCTCTAGACTTAGATAGAGCATCTCCTTTAAGTGGTCTGTTAGCACCCCCATAATCCCCTCCTCCTCCCCTTGAAGTAAGGGTGCAACGAGACCCTTTAGCACTAGCCTGTCTCTGCTTACAATGAACTCTAAGTACCTTGTCTTTGTCTGAAATGTAGAGTACTTCTCCTGCTTGCTAAGGGAGAAGGGGACCTCGCCACTATGGTAGGCATCCTCCTTTCCTGCCAGCTCCTCTAGGAACATGCTACTAGCTAGCTCAAATGGGTCTAAGGTCTCCCTCTCATCCCCCTTGCCCCCATCATCTCCACTTAAGAGGAGGGAGGCAGATGGGCTCATAGGAAGGGGCGTATCCCCCCTTGCCCTTCTCTGCTCCTCTCTACCCTTCCCCTTCTCTCTAGTAACTACACTAAAGAAGAACCTGTTTTCCTCTAAGGCTTGCCCACTTGCTATTACTTTATAACAGCGGTTTATGTCCTTATTGCTTAACAAGGGCTTATGCTCCTCCCTTATGTGCCTCTTTATGTGGTATAGGGAAGACCTTATAACACAGCAGGAGGGTACTAAGGAACAAGCATAGAGCTCCTCCTTTACACTAAGCCCCTTAAAGGGGCGTAGAGGAGGGAAGAGGGCAGAGGAGAGGAGGAAGAGGAAGTGGCTCTCCCTTAGGCTAGAGACTTCTAGTGAACTTATAATAAAGCTCATAACCTTACTAACAAAGGCCTTCTTCTCCTTGCCCTTTAGTAAGGGGCAGTGCTTTAGTAGGTGCCCCTTTACATTAAGGGGGTTAATTGCAAGGGAGCAGGATGAACAGAGGAGGAGCTTAAAATCTGAGAAGTACCATAAGCAGCCTAGCCCCTTAAACTCCTCAAACCCCTCTTGCCCTTCATGCTCTTGCATCTCCTTAGACTCTACAAACTCTGTAAGGTCTATAGACTCTGTAGACGCCCTCCATGCCTTGCATGTAGTAAAGAGGGTAGTGGCATTCCCTAGGTCTCTTAAGTCTGTAAGGCAAGAGAGCCTCATAAGATCCTTATACACTCCCATTTGTAAGAACTCCTTAAACTCCTTAAACAACGAAAACAGGCCTAGCCCCTTTAACTCTATGAGAATACCCATGTTGAAATCAGTAAGGCCCCTTACATCACTAGAGGCAGGGGGCTGCCCCCTTAAGAAGTCTGCACTAAAATCAGAAAACAAGTCTATAAGCTGCTGCTCCCTTGTAGCTGTAGGTGTAGACATTGGTAGTATGAGAAAGTATAGACAGTGTAAATGCAGTATAGACAGTATGGATGCAGAATAAACAGTATGGATGCAGAGTATAGGAAAGTATAGACAGTATGAATGCAGAATAAACAGTATGGATGCAGAGTATAGGAAAGTATAGACAGTATGGATGCAGAAATAGACAGTATGGATGCAGAGTATAGGAAAGTATAGACAGTATGGATGCAGAATAAACAGTATGGATGCAGAGTGTAGGAAAGTATAGACAGTATGGATGCAGAATAAACAGTATGGATGCAGAGTGTAGGAAAGTATAGACAGTATGGATGCAGGATAAACAGTATGGATGCAGAGTGTAGGAAAGTATAGACAGTATGGATGCAGTATAGATAGTATAGATGGTCTAGGAATAGGAAGTGTAGTGCTGGATCTCCCCTTCTTACTTAAGTGTAGGGCTGATAAGAAAGGATGAGCATTATGGTCGCGCGTGAGACGTTCCCATAAGCTCATCTGCACCCTGCCCACTAGATGACTAACCCACCTAAGATTAAAGGCATAGATAGCCCTGCTGCGTGGAAATCCACATCGCAGAAACCACATCGTCAGGTCGTCCCCACCTTTCACCCGATTCCTGACCAACCACCTCACCGCAAAATCCACATCGCCGCGGCGATGTGGATTGGCATAAGTGGTAGAGGCCCCACACACTGTGGTTTTGTATGGAGGTGGCTCTTAAAACTCATAACTCTACACGTAGTCCCCTTAGACACGCGTACACAGCTTATTTAGATGCTCTAGCTCGCCCGCTACATTTTATACTGAGGAACTTAAGCTGTATCTCTTACGCCCATGGAGTTTTGGGTTGGTGCCATTTCTGCCGAGACGCCTCATTTTTGTATGGGAAAATGGCCGACCCCACCAAAACCTAGCCCAACTTCAAACGCCTGTAACTGTACGAGCTGGTGAGCAATGCAATCGGTTGTCGGCTTATATGATACGTAAGTCTCCTGTGCACAGCTTCGCCCATATAAGCGTAGCTGTAGGAGCGACGGCCGTGGAGTTTTGAGTTGGTGCCATTCGTAGCATCTTTTGTGTGGTGCTGCGCACAGACCAATTTTCTGGCACCAACTTGATGCCACGCCCGCGGCCGCGACATAATAAGGGGTAGAGCTACACAAGGTCGCAATGGAAGATTGGAAACTCAGAGGAAGCGAAATTTTGGGGTTCTAAATAAGGACCTTCAGAATGATGAAGCCTCCATTGATACTCCTCGACATTCGCAACGACTTAAGGTAGAGGAGGGTACTATTCAGATGTGGGTTAGAGTAACGGCTCACAGTAACGGAATATATCACTAATTAGCCTTATATAGTATTTGGAACCAGCTTGAACAATATATTATGTTAACTACTGCGATAGATACCAACCTTTGCGCTAGGTGGTAGGAAGGCTGGCCTCCCAAAGTCGACACAAACCTGTGTGCGATCGGGGTGGTGATGGTAGGGAAGCCACTGTAAGCTGATGCATTCTGAGACATACGGCACTTATAACTCTAATGTAATTACCATAATTTATTATCTATATGATAAATTTATCCTAATTTCTATCAATATACCGTTACTATATACCGTTACTCTTGGTCACAGGACTGTCATACTGACATTCGTTGCACTCAGTTTGCTATCAAACTCAAGAGCAAACTTAGAAATCTCCTCCTCAAACCTACAAGTCACTATACATATTTTGGCTTGTCACACCAACAACAAGAGCAATACTACTCAACGATTGCTACAACCCTCTATGATTCATTACACGTCATTGCTCCTTAGTTACTGGGCCGATATGACCACATAGCATATCTCTACAACCCTCTATGATTCATTACATGACATCACTCCTTAGTTACTGGGCTAATACTACACATGACATATCTCTATCAACTAGAGGCCTAGGAACATGAACGATAGCTCCAAAACCTTCTACAACCATCTATGATTCATTACACGTCATCGCTCCTTAGTTACCCACAAGATTGGTTAAGTTATGACATAATTTGTCTATAGGGCTACTCTGACCTTGGACCTCCTTTCACTTCCTATAGGCTAGGAACCTAGGAGATGGTTCTATGGGATTCTCTTACGTCGACTACAGTTACCAAGCCTGGTTAGTCATGGAAAGTCTTGGAAAATGAGAGAACTACACTCCTTTAGCATAAATAGGATTGCCCTTTCCTTAAGAAAGGGCAAGCAGACAATACAGTAAATCGACTATCACATACTTCCACGTCTTTTCCAAGCTTCCAAGCATTGATCTTGTTACTCCTTGTTTCTGAAAAGTCAGTGAGGTGCTAACCTCTCACTTATCCCTGAGTTCTCAGACTCAACATTTGTTACAACTTGTCTAAACCACTCCACTACATCATACACCTGATTGCTGCGTTGTGGAATAGTCTAAGCTACGACCCTTTGGCTCTTTTTCCGAAGACAGTGTGTTGTCTTAGTAAAATCATCCCTTCCTTGGGTGGCTAGATTCTCACATCTGGTGCACCCACCATTACATCTGGCTTGATGTTGCTCTTGTTGATACCTGAGTAGTGGTCTGAGGGGCTGTTTGAGGGACTACTCCACTTCCCCCTTGAGTTGCAGTCCGTACGAACTCTGGAATAGGCCTAATAGGCGGTAGGAGTGTAGGAGGGTCTTCTGAAGAAGGGTCGACATACTCCCATACTCCTGTTCTCATTGAGGCTGTTTTGATCATCTCTAGCCACTCATCCCAGTCTCTCAGGTTGGTGAGGACCACCCCCACCTTTTGTAGGGCCTTCATATTGTGTGGTTAGGCTCCTAGGAAGGGTTAGTAGGTCCGTACGAATCGCGTGTTGGAGTTGCTCCGGGCTCATAACTGTGATTTACCGATAATCCGTACGTAGATCATGTGAGATCATGTGGCTATTATAACATTCAACGACCTTCTCCACGCCGACCGCCTGCACACCTCCCTCTGCCGCCTCCTCTAGATCGGTGACTGGAGAAAGGTCGGCGGACGCCTGAGCCGAATGGTAAGCCCCCTAACCCCACACTGCACCCCTCTAACATCCCAGGCCACCTCCCTCGAAATCCACGTCCCGCCCACCTTCACCCCCGCACGCCCCGCCCTCACCTACTCCCACACGGCCATCCCCTCTAACATCGACGACCACCCCCTTGCCAAGACCCTCCCAAAGGCCGCCTCCATCCAGCGCGGCTCCAACGAATTCCGCGACTTCGAATGCCGCAGAGACGCCCCTGCCACCCTCGAGGACTACCTAACCAACGACACGCCCATCCTCTCTCTCGACATCACCTCCTTCAATGACGCCACCATAATCGGCCTGATATGGCCGCACGTTCTCATGGACGTCATGGGCCAGCAGGCTCTCCTGCGCGGCTGGTCGCTCGTCCTGGCCGGAAAGGAATCCGAAGTGCCAGCCCTCCTTGGCGCACGTGAGGATGCCCTCTTATTCCCCGACGAAAACCAAGAAGTCTACCGTCCCAAACGCCTCTAAGGATTCGGCATGTTCAAATTCGGGCTGCGATTTGTCGCCGACCTTCTCTGGAACCGTGTCGTCGAGATACGCACCATCTTCCTGCCAAAGGCGGCCGTCGCCAAGTTGCTGCAGCAGGCCCAGGAAGACCTCTCCAGCGAGTTCGTCAGTGAAGGCGACGTTTTAACGGCGTGGGCGACGCGCGCTGTGGCCTCTTCCATGCCACCCCGTCCCATAACCGCCCTACACCCGCTCAACCTTCGATTCCGTCTCCCATCCCTCATCCAAGCTCCCGGCGTCTTCGTGCAGAACATGGCCGTCTCAGCCTTCTCGCTCTTCACGCCTGAACTCCTTCGAGGACCCCTCGGACCCATTGCGCTCGAGAATCGGCGCCAACTGATGGAGCAGGCGACGGAGCCTCAATTGCTCGCCTTGTTACGCGAGATGAGTCAGAGCTACACGCCGGGCGGCGATACAACCATTCTCTGCGGCGAGTCCCATGCCCTCCTAATGCCGTTTACGAATTGGACCAGAGCAAACGTCTATCAGGCGGCCGACTTCAGCGCTGCAGTCGTACGCACCGGCGAGGGAGACTCGAGGAACAATCCGTCCGGCACCATGGTATATCAACATGCCAACTCGATGCGAGGGAGCCCGACGATGCGAAATGTTGTTATGATACACGGCAAGGACCACGGCGACAACTACTGGCTGACCGCGCTTCTGCTCCCGGGCGCTTGGGCGAAGATTGAGGAGGAGATTAAGAAGTTGTAGGCGGGATCCGTCACCTCGTTCGTCTCTGATTGCATTTCTCTGCGATCCCGAGGGCGTGGGTAGTTAGCATTGAGGAGTGTTTTGGAACCTACGATCGAAGGGAAATGTTTTGGCTTCGAAGAGCGTTAGAGTGCGTCGAAGCGCAAAATCGACTCGGCAGGTCAATTCCAAATATGTGCATAATCGGGGAATTGTCTCTGTTATTTTTAGACTAGAGTATCTGTCATAATAATGTATACTTCTATTTTCTGTATTTCACGCCGCTACATTCGAGCGTTCAACACCCTTCAGCCGGATCCAATCGCCCCACCCCCTACTCCACGCTCAACCACGGCAACTCCTCCTTCGAATACCTATACGCCCTAAACAGCGCATTCGACTCCCCGGGAAAAATCCCTCTCGTGATATCATCCTTGTACTCTGCAAAATGCGGCACAATATATTCCCAAACCAACACCCCCTTCACCGTCACCTCGAAGATCCTGCCAAACGCGCTCTCACAAATCAGCGTATTCCCGTTCGCCAGTCTCTGCGCGCTCCCCATAAACGGAGTGAAAAAGGTATTCCACTGCGAGGGATCCATATACTGCCACACAATCTCCTTGGTCTTGCGATCCACCTCAATCACCCTGCTGTATGTGTTCGACTCGCCCGTGCGGTATGCGCCGTTGTCGAAGATCAAGATGTTTCCGTTTTCGAGCTCCATCGGACAATGCTGCTGTGCAATGACGTCCGACTTTAAACTCCAGATGATATTCCCAGTCGCCCGCTCAATGATCAGTACGGCGGAAATCGACCGCATCGAACACAAAATATTCCCATCCTTCAACGGAAGAACACTGTTAATCAGAGGATAGTGCTCCCTTCCGTAATGCGGCTGTAGAGGAAACTCTTCCCTAGGCAACCTCTCGCTAACCTTCCACTCAAAGGTCACATTTCCTTTAGGGTCAATCTCCTTAATGATATCCGCATACGTCACGCCGTTAATCTCCGATCCCAGGATCCCGCCAACAACCTTGGCCGAGTCCTCTTTCGAGAGCGCCTCTAAACTCGTATACAAAACCCCCCCGTCTCCGTAATGGAACTGGTCGTGATGCCCAAGAGGATCCTTGACCTGCCTGACAACATTCCCCGCCGGATCCAACTCGCTCATAACACCCCCGCCATATTTATGGATGAAGGGGAAGATGTCAGGCGTGTCCGGGTTGATGGTGTTGATGGCGAGGTTCCCGTTGGGAAGAATCCGCGCGTGTCGTCCGGTTCGGCCGGGCAATTGCCAGTGATGAACTTCCTTTCCGTCGATATCAACGAGGTATGCAATGTCCCCGGCGAGAGGCGCAAAAAGAGTGTATCCTCCAAAACTCTGGTCCTTGTCAACGCCCCTCAGGCCAACGCCGCCTCTTTTGATGGTGTTTTGCTCCATCTTGTCCGAATTGTTCAGTCAATTGCAAACGGGAAACACCCCTTCTTATCTTCTCCATCTAAACCTAACCCCGCTATCATTTTTTGCGCCGTTACCGGCGATCAGGAACCCCCATGATGCCTCCCTCACAATTGATCTGTGATTTCGGCGACCGGCGACCGGCGACGGCCGGGTAGTCCCCACTGTTCAAATAATAGACTGTGCTTTCGGGTGTGAAGAGGTTTTATTGATGCTAACCACTAATCGTTGGTTTCCAAACCACCGCCTGGAGGCGCCAAACCACCGCCTACTGGCGGTGGTTTGGAAACCAACGATTAAACCTAATATAATACAGGGCTATTACTAATATAATACAGGGCCTTTGATATCCTCGCACCGATGTAGGGGGAGCGGTCTCGGTGATGCCGGTGATGCCGGTGCCAAGCACCGAGTTCTCATTCCAACACCCACCACGTGCGATCGCGTGCCCCTTAACTTCATTCCCCGTATAAGCCAATTAGCTTCCCTCTACATGTTGCCATTTCCAATGGAAATCAACTTAAATGGCATTTTCACGCCTTCGTGAGTTTTTCCTAACTTTTGCCATACAAATCGTTCAAGTGCGTCGTGTTTGAATGTTTTCTTTTACGCTGATGTACGGCTCTCTGCTCCTTTTTAGACGCGATGGATTGAATAAGGCCCCAGGCACTCATACCCCCATTAAGAGTGCATACGTCAGCTCAGAATCCCCCCCCATTGGGCTGATAACACATGCGATAACGAGTACCAGGGATCCTCAAGCCACCAAGCGTGGTTAGGACACTGACTTATTGGTCGGAACTGGCGTATCATGCTACAGAACGTAGGTGAACTCATCATGCTATCACCCTGCTCGCTGCTTATCTCCGCAATGGCCAGTGCTGATAGCGACGGGGTTGGGACGATGCGTGCCATGGGAGATGAGATGCCTCTTAGATACAAATATAGGGCCCTAACGAGAGAATGTCGATCAGATCAGAACTTCGTAGTCTAAAATGGCTTCCTCTGCATTGCCCGTGGCCGAAATAACGACCTCTTCCCCCCTCGAAAAGACTGAAGATGCCACTCTCCTTCAGCTCCTCGACATCCCCGGCTATGACAAAGACCTAGGCTGGTCCATCCACGAGGAGCGTGTGGCAGTCCGCAAGGTCGACCTCTGCATCCTCACCTTCATCGTCCTGATCTTCACATTCATGCAATTCGATCGAACCAACATCTCCGCCGCTCTCACAGACACCCTTCGCACTGACATCAATGTCAACACGTCTCAGATAAACACCGCCCAAACTCTCTTCATCTTGGGCTTCGTTCTCACCGAAATCCCCTTCAACATCGTCACGAAGAAGATAGGGGCTGAGACATGGCTACCCATCACCATGTTCCTCTGGGGCGTATGCACGTGGTGCCAGGTCTTCATGAAGAGTGCCAGTGGCCTATTTGCGTTAAGGTTTTTCATCGGTGCTATGGAGGGCGGATACATTCCTGGTACATACCCACGTCCACTCTCACATTCGTCCCTAACTTTATAGGAATGGCACTGTACATCTCCCGCTACTATACCAACCCTGAACTTGGCCTCCGCTTCGCCCTGTTCTGGGCCAGCAATGCAGTCGCCGGTTCCCTGTCCGGTCCTCTCTCCCTCGGCCTCCTCTCCCTCAGCGGCACCCACGGGCTAAAGGGCTGGCAATGGCTGTTCCTCATTGAGGGTGCCGTGACCTGCTTCCTTGCTGTCGTAGCATACCTCTACCTCCCTCACTCGCCTCCAAAACCAAAGTCATTCTTCGGCAAGAGCTGGAACATCTTCACTGAGCGCGAAGCGTCCATCTTGACCACCCGAGTTCTGAGAGACGACGCGACTAAGGGGTACACCCAAGGAAAGTCGGTCCAGGTCCAGGACTGGAAAGATACGTTCATGGATTGGAGAATATATGGCCACGTTGTGTCTGCGTTCTTGTCAATGTAAGCATTCCATCCCCTAGACGCCTTCAAAAGCTGACCTTCAGGCTTATGATCTACCCCATCAACACCTACGCGCCGTCTCTCATCAAGTCACTTGGATTCGGCGGATACAACGCCAACGGCCTCAACTCAGTCGGCCCCGTCGTCTCTCTCATAATCTCCATCTCGATTGCATGGAATAGCGACCGTACAAAAGAGCGTGGTTTCCATATTGCCGTTGGATTCTGCGTAGGTATTGCGGGCCTGCTGTGGACTGCCCTAGCGCCAGTTTCCTCTTCGAAATGGGTTGTTTATGGTGTGTCCTAGTCTTCCAAAACCGCAGAGAGAAACTAACGAGATAGGTGGAATCGTCCTCACCCAAGCCGGCATGGGCTCGACGCAAGCACTCAACGCAGCGTGGCTTTCGAGCATGGTCGACGACAGAAAACGACCCATTGCATTGGCAATGTATGTCATGGGCATCCAGCTCGCTGGCTTCCCCGGAAATCAACTTTTCCGACAGCAAGATGCTCCAAGATATAGCAGAGGCTTGATCATTGCTGCAGCGTGTGCAGCCGCCGGAGCAGTGATTGTGCTGGTATGGAAGGGGATCTATGCATTTGTGGAGAGACGACAAAACAGAAGCCCTGTAAATGTCGCAGAAATCGTCGCAGAGAGCGTGTGGGGCGAGAAGCGGTGAAGACTGCTTGTAAAACATGATATCTCTAGAATGCGTCTTTAGCGACAAGAACCAAACGTGGGATTAGAGAGAACAATGCAAATCCCTTACCACGACATGTCCTTTTTCTCCTCGGAATCGGCAAATGTTTTATATCCATTAAGCTTCACGGTGCCAACAAAACGTTCAAATAGAATGCAATAATATAGTAAAATATAGACAACTTCGACGGTTGAGTGGTGACTACCATTCAGCACCCCCCTAACAGCTGCTAGAGATAGAGCCCTTGCAGTACGTTCCATCAAACCCTGACCCAATCTTCGGGGGCTCAGCTCACTAGCGTATATCTATCGCAACCCTTGCCACTATCTTGACAAGAGTTTGTGATTGTGCAAGTGTCGCCATAGTTGGTGTTGATGCCGCAGATGACCCCACCATTAATGGCTATGATATTGATAAATATAAAATTGCGAGGGCCGTCATTACCGCTGCAGTTGCCGCAGCTTCGAGCAACCGCAGCTTCGAGCAACCTTGCCATAGTCGTTGGCGTAGAAGTTCTTCACGGAGACCGTTCCACGACCGTTGAATTGGATGATTTTGTCAGACGCCTTGAATGCACCTCCTCCGTTGATACAGGACGTGCCGCTCATTTGCTTGAATGTGCTTTTCATGGTTAGCAGAGTCGTCAGGCCATAAGGTGGCATCACTTACATGGCATCCTCACAGATATCCGACCACCAGACGTTGTTGATTGTGCTAAAATTGTCAGTGTCCAATATCTCAGAGGCAGCTCGAATCTGCAACATACCACTTTCCCTTGCAGTGGACACCCTCAGCTTGGTTTGGACCAATTACAACATTGGAGAGCGTGGCACTATCCTCAAGAATGAAACATGGCATCCGCCTCGCCAGTCTCGGTCTGCCCAGCACAAACCTTGGCTACATGGCGTTAGAGCTGTGCATACATGCCAAGGATGACACTTACGGCTTCGGTCATACATCTTCATGTCGCCATCAAAACTGGCGGTGACGGTAATGGCCTTGCTCGTGGCAACTATCACAGGTCAGCTACAACGTTCATTTCGAAGGGAGTCGGAACACACCAGCGCCCGAAGACTTGGGCAAGGTCGTGGTAAGGCCAGTCGGTGTGGCGCCGCCGCTGCCGCCGCCAGCTGTAGTCGCCGGCACGAGTGGTTACTGGTGCACCTCCTGCTCCAGTCCTAAACTTTATCAGCGATTCCCTGTAAAACGATACATTCAGCCTCACCAGTAGCAAGAGCACTCTTTGCTGATCTGACTAGGCTTGCTGTCGCAGTTGGTGGCCCATGCAGGCAGAGCAGTAGTGGCAGTGACGACACTCTTTGTGAACGTGCCGCAGTATGGCGAAGCAACGGCCTGGTTTGACTTGATATAGCCGGCACAGGCGTTGGTGTCTGGGTTGGAGCATCCCAGGACAACGGGAATCAGGCCCAGGATGGCGTAGCGGAGGTTCGTGATGGCTAGATCCTTCTGTGAAGAGAATTGATAGCCAGTGCAATTAAAGTACAAGTCAAATCTCCATAGACCTCAGTCGATTTCCATCAACATTCTCATGTCCGAGCGGAGATGAGACCCTTGCCAAGTTCAGTTGCCCAAATTATATTGACCCTTGCCCAGTTTCCCAAATCATATTGCCACTTGGTAGCTGTAAAAACATCTCCACTCATGTTTCACTAGATGGTCTAGGCGCAGGGAAAGAAATTCAGAGTTAATGCTCATAAAACAATCATAAAATAAAATCGCTTCAGGTTCGCTTCTACCATCTGATCTTACAAAATACACATCATCATGACGCCCCGCTGTGGGCTGTGGCCGACTCAAAACCATGTCGGCACAGAAATACAGTCGAAAGCCCCAGCTATTCGCAATCTCATACCAAAACTGCCAACCCCATCATACATGCCTAGGCATGGCCAAAGTGAACGCGCCTAATCAATCTTGATCGATCCGTAGATCTTCTGCACGAACGCCCAGCTTGCAAAGAAACCAATGGTGCCTGTCTGAGTTAGAGTAGTTCTCAAAATGGAACGGAAGACATACCGGTGAGAATAAAAAACAAAAAGCTGATCAAAGCGCTGTATCCCAAGTAAAGAACCCCTCCGGTCAACCCTCCCAGCTGCAACTTCGTCACCCAGTACGCAACCGCGTGCAAGAATACGTAAAATGCGCTCGTGCCAGCAGCAAGGAACGCGCGCCAGTGCCAGTGGTAGTTTTCTGAGCACAACAGGAAATACACCAAAAGGATCGTCACCGCTGCGCACGTGACAATCATGAGCCCGTAGCAGAGAAAAAGGAATCCAAACATGTAGTAGACCTTGCTGAACCAGATGGACGACATGATGAAGAAGAGTTCGACAAAGATGGCGGCAAAAGGCAGCAGACCAACAAGAAGCATGCTGGGAATAGGGCGGAGCCATGTGGTTCCTGGAGGGATCTGGCGGGGAATCTGGTTCGTGCGCACAGGGGGAGCAACGGCCTGTTGTCTGAATCCAACCCAGGATCCGGCGAAAGACAACGGCACAGAAATCACAAACCAAATCGCAACAACAACGACCATGGTTGTGAATGGGACAGCACCGCTCGACCCCTTAACCCAGAGGAAAAAGTTGAGGAGGAAGAAGGTGCTGAAGACGAGTCCAGGAACGAGGAGGGGCGTCAGCCCAATATTGAGTTTCCATGACTCTCCACCAAAAGATTTGTAGACGCGAGCAGAGGCGTAGCCGCCAATGAATCCGAACAGGGTGTAGAGAATGATCATGACGGAGCCGAGCGAGCCGCGGTTGGAAGGAGACAAGAACCCCAACAGCGCAAAGGCAATCGTGGCCCCGGTCATCACAAATAGTTGAGCTCCATTCCCGAGGAAGACCGACAACATCAGCGAGTACTTTGGAGCCCGGAAGACATCGCCGTGCACCAACTTCCATCCCGAGTCTTCCTGCACACCGTCTTCAAGACCCGCCGAGGTGCCCGAAAAGTCCTCGAGATCGATAGAGTCAAGGCGGTTGTAGCGTGCAATATCCTTCTTCAGGGCACGATACAAGATGGACACAACCGTCAGGGATAGGAAGACGAGGATGATGGCGGAGTTGATGAGGGAGAACCAGTGGATCTTCGGATCGAAAACATGCAGATACTTGTCCCATCGAGTGCCCCATGCCGTCGGCGACGGACGCCAGTACACACCGTATGTCCACGTCACAGTCGTCTCGCGGTCCGTTGCCAATTGCATTGGCGTCGACGCATCACCGCAGTCGGGGGTCCCGTCATGCACACCCGAATTGGCTCTCGACGACGGCTGGACGAGCACACCGACAACCCTAAACTGGCCCGTCGAAGACTCATGATAGTCGATGAGAATGTCGTAATGGTTGTTTAGTGCCGGTGGGCTCATTTCTGAGTTCCCAAGCTTAAAGCCCTGGCTATAGAATTGGGTCTTGGTTTTATCGACCTCCAACAGTTGCCCTGCCGGCAATCCATCCACCAGCCAGTTAAGATCAAAATCTCTAAATATCTTATCATTCGTAAAAGCTGCCGACCCTACGTCGAACTTCACAGAATTGCAGGCTGCCTTGCACGTTTCATTCACTCCCATCTTCAGCTCAAAGGGAGACGTCTTGATTCTGTCGCCAAATATGATGCTGCCCAAACTTTCCGGTCGCTCTTCGGGTTCTGGGTCTGGCCGGCAGAATTGGAACATTGGGTGGTAATAGTCATACGGCACAATAGACCGTAGGGCGCCATCCTTCTGTGAAGCTGAAGCTGTTAAAGCATTGACATATAGTGGGACACTGTCGCCTTCGGCGTATGATGTTGGTGCGACTCCAGGGAGATAAAATGCTGAGGAGAGCTGAGGCGCAGCAGCAAGAAGGGTCGCCAGCAGCGCATGTGAGGGTGAAAGGTCTCGCAACAGCATGATTATGGGTGTGCGAATCTGTAATTTGCTGTTGTCAGTAAGGGTTGCGCCCAGTGTCTGCTCGCGTCACAGGATTGATGGTTTATAATGAAAACACTCACAAGCTTCAATCCTGAATTTATTATTCTCCCATCTACTCACTTTATAAACTGTTGTTGTCGTGAACGACGATGAGAGCTTGTGTCGAAGCAACCTGTCTCCTTGCCAAAACAACTGGGTACCTATCTCAGGAACATTCATCCGTACTTCAGACAGGGGTCGGCGGAACTATTACCCGCCCGCGACAATCCTTATCGCAACAAAATGCTTTCAATGTTTTTTTACAGTACCAGGTTTCACGTCTCATCGCAATCATGGCGCTCGACAACTCTCTGCCTTCATTGTTGGCAACCCTTACGCAGGCGCTCTTATCCTCCGAACAGTCTGCGCCAGAATTGGGCTCTATTGCCCCACCGAAAGATGGCATCTCGCTCCTCGATGTCAAGAATGAACTTTTGCTGTCCTACCTCCAAAACCTCGTCTTCTTGATCCTCATCAAACTGCGCGACTACAACAGTGATGAGTCTGACGACAAAGAAACGCAGGGTATTGACGATGATGCTGTTAAAAAGCTGGTCGAGACCAGGGTCTATCTGGAAAAGGGTGTCAGGCCGCTGGAGGCGCGGTTGAAGTACCAGATCGACAAGGTTCTTCGCGCCGCCGACGATGCAGCAAGGGCCACTCTCCCAGCGTCAAGAGGACCGTCGAAGGCTATCACGAGAGACTCCGATGTATCAGACGATTCAGATGATGAGGAAGACGCTGGAGGTGTCGAGGCGCAGGCAGCTCAGATCGACGACCTACAATACCGACCAAACCCTGCCGGGCTCGTACGACCTGCAGACTCTGGCCTCAAATCCCACAGCGCAAAGGATATGGATGGCATATATAAGCCTCCTCGAATCAACCCCACAGTCATGCCTACCACCGGACCACGGGAGAAGGCAGACAAGAGGCCCCAGAAGTCCGCAACGCTGGACGAGTTTATCAGCACAGAGTTGTCCGAGACGCCATTCGCAGAGCCCAGTATTGGAAGTCAGATCATCGCCGGTGGACGACGCTCGCGATCTGACAAGGAGCGCAAGGAAGCCGAGGAGCGCAAGGAGTACGAAGAGAAGAATTATACCCGTCTGCCCAAAGAGAGCAAGAAAGAGCGTGCCAAGAAGGGAGGGGTTAAGGATGCTGGCTACGGTGGCGAGGAGTGGAGAGGTTTGGGTGAGGGCATTGACCGCATTGAGCGGCTCACAAACAGGACATCTAGCTCCACAAGGACCGCCTTGGAGAAGAGCAGAAAGCGTGCCGTGGAGGATGGACCCCGAGCCGGTGGTGGCGTAGAGGTTGGAGAGAAGTTCCAGAAGAGGCTCAAGACCTTGGATGGAGGACGAAGGGACAGGGGACGGAGATAGGCTGTTATGGGTAGAAATAAATGTTATAGAAGCATTTTCACTCCTGATTACAGCGCACGATGCATGGTCCATCCAGTCAGATAATCCTAGCTAGCGAGTTTTCATTCTATTCCCTATAAACCTCTATTCATCATCATCATCCATATCATCCAACAGATCTAATCCAGTAAAAACCTTTGGCTTCTCCTCCACCTTCTGACCAGCCGCACCCATGGCCTCCCTCCGCACGTACTCCTCTCTCATGCGCTGCTCCTGCCTTGCTCTCTCTGCTTCTCGTTGCTCCTCCTTCGCCCGCTCGGCCTCCTCTTCCAATCTTTTCCGTGACGCCTCCAACTCCGCGCTGCGTTCTGGGTCAAACGTTGCCGGGTCTTCGCCCTGGTCAATGAGAACCTGTATGCTCGCTAGCGCGCCTCGACGAATCGTCTCCTCCGTGGGCCACGGAACGAAACCGGGCGCGGAGGCATGAGGGTTCAGCCATTCCGAGATTTGGGGCGGTAAAGAGGTCTTATCGGTATCGGCTTGAATTGGCGTTACTGGCAGTTCTGCGGCATTCACGACAGCGCCATTTGATGGAGCAGTGGGCGTGACGGTCCCGTTTGTCTGAGTGCCCGTACCTTCGGGTTCGGGGGTCGGCTGTGTCTCACGGTACGTAGGTGGGAGGGTGAATTTGCTGATCCTCCGCGCGTAGGAGAGTAGATCGATGTAGGAAACCGGGGTTGTGGTGCTCGGGAATGTCGTTGCGGGCGTGGAGATCAGCTCCGAGCGCGTGGACGACAGGAGCTGGAGGGATCCCTTTATCTGCGCGTCAAGGTCGGAAGAAGTGTTCTTGAGGGATTGGATGCGTGCGTAGTTGGCTTGATGTGTGGCTACTACAGACTTGTTAGATTCGGTGGCTGCACCAGCGAAATGGGGCAGATCATACAGTCGGCCAAACCATGGCTCAGTTCTTGATCGGCAGCAACGAGATCGTGAGCCAAGACGGGATTGGGATTGTATGTTGAGATGGAAGCAACGAGAGTAGCCAAGGCCTTCTCTACCCGCAGAAACTGCGCGTCCAGGGTTTTATCCATCTGCAGATGGCGTGTTGGCACTTTCTGCGTGAACTGTGGTGATAGCACGACTCAAAGAGAGCTCCGACGAATGACAACACTGCAAGCTTAGCCACAGTCACATCACGTGATCATTCCCCATCCTTATCCTCCGTCCTCCGTGTTCCCGACTTGCCAACGCAAAACAGCAGGTGGCACTTCTGACAAATTGCACAGCCTTAATACGGTGACCTAGAGTGAGCAGCAGTGCAGCTCGTGGGGCAATTCCCTTGCCTCGTCGTCATTGTCTGGAGTATTCCCCTCTATATATGCTCTTATAAATCTTAATAATGTACATTTCCACCGCTGCTCGTAAAACAAACATTCACGCTTAAAAATCGACCCGTTAAAAATCCTCAAATTATCTCCGCACGACATCGCCGCCCGACATCGCCGCCCGACGTCTTACAAAGTGGTTTCAGGGTGTAGAAACTGCGACAGGCGCTTATTTCCACTCACCCCCGCCATCATTTCGAAGGGCAGTAAGCGACACGAACGACTGTAAACGCTTGCCGTGGCACTTCCTCCTTTGTAACAACGACTAACACGCCTGTTCATCCGGCTCTTTCTGACATTCAAAACCGACTGGCGACCATACACAAGCTCGCTCTAGCCAACTCTCCAATTGACGTGAACCGTCGATTGCAAGGCCTAGCCCTGTGCCTCCGAGGACCCTGAAACGGACATCATTGCGAAACAACACTCTGAGCCCGCCTGAACCCAGCTGCGAGATATGGGGAAATCGTGAGTGTCTCTCTCGGGGTGTGGCGCCAGTCAAAACGACGTGGTCTCGAATGAGCGGGCAGGATGGGGCCACAGGTGGCTGCACCGCTCAAAGACACGCGTCTCATGCCTCAGCTTCATTCCACTCGACCTACTAACACATCCCTCCAGGCAGTCGAAGCTGTCCCAAGAGCAGCTCTCGGAGTTGCAGCGTTCCACACATTTCGACAAGAAGGAGCTCCAGCAATGGTATAAGGGTTAGCAGAACCCCCTTGCCTGGCACACTACATGGTTATAACTGTCTATAGGCTTCCTCAAGGATTGCCCCTCGGGCATGCTCACAAAGGAGGAGTTCCAAAAGATCTACCGCCAATTCTTTCCATTCGGAGATCCATCCTCCTTTGCAGACTATGTTTTCAATGTCTTCGACAGCGATAGATCTGGCTCCATTGATTTCAAGGAGTTCATTTGTGCTCTGAGCGTCACCAGCAGAGGCAAGATGGAAGACAAGCTCGACTGGGCCTTCCAGCTGTACGATATTGACGGAGATGGAAAGATCAGTTACGACGAGATGCTGGCGATTGTAGAGGCGATATATAAGATGGTAGGCACCTTTCCGTCAACGTTTACAGGCTATGAACATCCAATAACCATCCCCAGGTTGGCTCCATGGTGAAGCTTCCAGATGACGAGGACACGCCAGAAAAGAGAGTCAAGAAGATCTTCCGCACGATGGACAAGGATGAGAATGGAAGCCTGGATATTGAAGAATTCAAGGAGGGCAGCAAGCGTGATGAGACCATCGTTTCTGCTCTATCTCTTTACGATGGACTTGTTTAGAAGGATATGAGTGCGCGGGATACAAGTGTATTATGCCATTATGACCACTGCAAGCCCCAATGCGTTTTTATGTCCTCGACCAGGTGCAGTTCCCTGCTGTCACGCGAATGCCAGGGAGACTTGAATATCCAATATTTTTGTAGCGGCCTATCGTTTGTCCTCCATTTCGCTACGATTGAAGTGAATTCATGGTGACCTGTTTCGCTTCCTCTCGAGTGAGCCTTAGTCTGCAATCACCCCCAAAAGGCCTGTGGTAGGGCGATTTCTTCACTGTACAAACCAAACACAACTCTTTTCTTTATTATCTGACTGCTTCTGCTCAAGGCTTCCACCCCCAAATTATGATCTAGAGCAACCAAACAAAGATTGCTTATCTCCCCACAACACGCGTCTCGCCTGCTTCTCGCCTCGATCACCTCACAACCACATCTCGAACCCCAAAATCCGCAAACATAGGTCACATCTGTAGTCCGATGACGAAACAAGACAAAGATCCAGATGGCGGCGGGCCTGTCGACACTCGCCCTCCTGGGCCTCCACCTCAAACCAGATCACAACGCCCCAGTGGAAACTCCAATTCATCAAGTTCACCCACGGCAGCTCCCGCCACGGCTGCAACCCAGTCAGATCATAAATCGGCAATGTCCAGTGGGCTGGACGCCGCTGGTAAACAGGATAACCCCAACATCATCATACAACAATCTCCCGCGTCCACACAGCATCCCAGCAAGGCTTTACCACAATACACCCCCGATCAGGCCAAAAAAGACATTACAGATGGCTCATCTTTTCTACAACCCCCGCCACCCCCGAACGTCAGCTTCGACGACGAATTCAGGGAAGCACAGGATATCACGTATGAGAAACTATGTGAAATGGTAAAGGATTCGGATCTGGACTCATTCCTCGCGTTCAGAGACGAATTGTTATCGGTGGAGGAAAGCCTTGGCCCCGGTTCCAACTATTTGCCTCTAAAACAAAGCCTTTACAGAATAGAGCTCGCCATACGAGGTGCAAACATTATCAAATCCAATCGTGAGACTGCTGCTGCTTCTCAAATGTCTAGCACTGAACCCAACGTCCCCGAGGTGGAAGATGCGGTCACTGTGGAAGCCGAACCATCAAAGAAGAGAAGGAAAAGGAAGAAAAAGACGGGTCACGGGGCTGTGATCGCGGATTCAACAGACGGCGAGGCCGCATCCGCCGATACGCCGAAGATCAATATTTACAATGACCCCTGGCCCTGGGAAGATAATGACGCGGATCTCGAGCAGACCATTCGAATTGAATCCTCCCTAGCCGAACTTCAAAGTGCTCCCGATTCATTTGCACAGCTCGAGGAAGACTTCAAAACGGACGAATTACTTCCCCCCGGGGATGCAGAAGCTCCAAGAAAGAAAGGCAAGAAGAGAAGAGGCAAGAAGAAAGCTCAAGGCGGCATCGATAAAGGGAAACAATTGGCAGAAAATAAAAGTTCCGCCGCAGCTACATCTTCTCCATCGTCCAACCTCCCAAGTACTGGCCAAACCAGTGCTGAGCATACATGTGACCACAAGCAACACGCACGGTGCAGCCATACCACCTGGAAGAACGACGACACAAACTTCAGCAAGGTCCTAGCAGAAACCATCCGTGAGCTGCTTTCAGATACGCCGCTGGATTCAAAGCTCAAACTCGAGCTACATGTGGATATGAACAAGGTTAAAAGGCGAGTGGACGAGATTGAAGCCGCAGATGGCGATGCCACCATATTGAGCACCAAAAAACAGCTGTCCTCTGCCAGTAATAAGGCCCCCTTCTCGGCATTTGGAAAAGTGGTCACCCCTAAAGAGCAGCGAGCCGCGGCAATTCACCTGTTGTCATCGCCGAAATACTACAACGCGTTCCTCGATTACATAGAACACCTCAATTACCTCGTTGCATGTGGAGATGAGAAGGCGGCGGCTATGGCAGATGAAGCCGACTTGATTTACCATGTTGTCACAAAAGTCTACAAGGAAGTGAGCGACAATACCCGGTCTAAAGTTGATGACACGGCGCTCATCGAGAGCGTGACCCATGCGAAACGTCTTGCAGAGTCAGCCAAGAAAATGAGAGAGTTGCAGGAGCTCGAACAAGGGATACGCCGGCCAGATGATCCTACTCCGGCCGCTGAGACTTCCGGTCCAGTATGCGGCCGAACGATCAGAGACAATTCACCTGCATCAGCCGAACTGGAAACCAAGGCTTTGTCTCTCATTAAGCAACCACCAGTGTTGCGTCGCTTTGTTGCCGATTATAATGCCATGGGAACGAATTCGGATGCCTACGGTTCGTTCTGGGGACAGGAATCGCACCTCTTATATCAGAAGCTGGTGGATATGAAAGCTGTGCCGAATTTCGATAAGCAACCTTTCAGTCTAGCTGGTCGCAAACCGCCATCGATGCACCCTGTGCCGAATCTTGAGAAGGAGTCTTCCAGTAAAGGCAGTCGCACAACGCCATCGATGCACCCTGCGCCGAATCTGGAGAAGCAACCTTCCAGTGAAGGTGGTAGCAAAATGCCATTGATGCACCCTGTGCCAAATCTTGAGAATCAATCTCTCAGTAAAGACGGTTGCAAAGCGCCATTGACCCCCAAAAGTGCTATCGACTCCCTGGCCAAATCTACTTCAGGCAAGGAAGCCTTCAGCATTATCTCCGAATACTTTGCATCGCACACGGTTACCCCTGAGTTCCGCCAAACTGTGGCTTCATACTATGCCTTTGACGACGCAAAAATGTCAGCTTTTTTACTAGAAAAGGCGGCAATTGAAGAGCGGTTCAACTCCAGTAAAGATGCGAAGTTGGGAAGAGTGAGGGACGAGGTAGAAAAACTCTGGGTGTGCATTGTGGAGGAGCGAAAGGCCAGAGAACTCGAAGATTCTGAAGAGGTTGAAAGTGAATCCAGGCCTATAATCTGCAATCCCTCCAAAACAAAGGATTTTGTGGATAAAGTTATGAGAAAAATGGTCAAACAATTTGCCAGATCAACAACTGGCATTCGGAGATTCTTATGGCCGCTCAAGTTCATCGCAGAGCATCCTTCCATCCAAGAGACGACAAGGGCAGCATCGGTATGTGTCTTGACTGATATGTCCCAGCTCTCTCGATATGCGCCATATCTTCGGAAGGCGAAGAACATGCCATGGAACCAACCGACTTTGAGCAACCTTGGTGCTCAGCAGCACGTGCAACACTTCATGGATGCTGTGGGTTCCATGAAAACAGCGCTCGAGAGCGCACCACCGTCTGTTTTACGGTATAATGCCAACAGGAACCCATTCATTCTTCCAATCACCAAAAGGGCCGGTGTTCCAATAAAGGCGCAAATATTGTATAATATTCGGGACTACGATAGCGCCTATATCGCTGCATTGGATGATGAAGGCAGAGCATCTGTCAATAGGGATTTCCGCCTTCCAGCTATTGATTGTCCGAATTATTTCAGAGAGACAGCCAAGGAACTCTATGACAATGCTGTAGACTATGCTGCTTTCATAGAGCAGAAAAACAACTTGGCTAATCTGCCAGCATGCTTCGGGGATGTCGAAGTTCGCCAGTCTCTTGTTGCCAGCGCGCTTCTACTTCACTCTGCTCTCGCTGAGTTGGATGACTCTTCTCCACAGGATCGCCTCCGCATCATGGAAGTTGTGGCCGCGTCCAGCTCATACGCAATATTACCCCCGGCGATTGGCTCCGTTGCTATATGTAGAGATACGGTTTCCAGTTACCTCTCGGCCGTACTGAAAGTTGAGACGAACTTTGTGCGTGAGGATACCCATTATCAGGTTGCGGGTGACAAATCAGGTGATGAGAGTGCAGGCTCCAAGGGAGTCGGAGTTCACTCAAAGGAGCATGTGCCATATGTTCTAGGCCGTTGGATGCCAAATGCAATGGCGGGGGAACAGATCTCAGGTAAACCATCTGTAGCTCAAGAGCCAGTGCAGCCCCCACAGCCTACCCCTATCAACCATCGAATTCCAGAGGCGACCAGCGAACCTCCTGAAGAATTGACCCCGTCTCAAAAGAAGCTGAAAAAAGAGCTCATTGCAGCAAATTATAGAAAGCAACAAACGGTTCCTCTCACACAGCATGAAGTTCGGGCCAGAGCAAGGGGCATCATCTCAGATTCTAGTATGCTCTCTTCATTCAAGAAGTCGAAGGAAGCCATGGAATATGACACTGGCTTCGAAGACAACGTAGATGAGAAGTTTTTTAAGAATGAGATGAAGAGGATCTGTGCAGAGATGAAGAAGATGAAGGTCGACATGGATGCAGGAATTGGGCCACAGGAGCCAGCCAGACCAATATCGTCTTTCATGCCGCCACCTACAGCTCAACTTTCCGCCCCGAAAGACGTCGATGATGCTATACACCTACCAAAATCTTCTGTTACCCTGGTTCCACCCAGAAGTATCATTAAATCGCCGGTAGACTGCGTCAGCGTCCATCACCTCGATTTCCAAACTTGCCTGGACAAAAGAGTCACGCCAGCCCTTACGCCTACTCCGACTCCAATGATCCCCCGCGACCGTGTTGTCGTCTATTCGCCTCTAGGCCTGCCAGCGCACTTTGATACTTCTATGCGGCCCAATGCTGCGCCGCTGCCATCTGACCCCGAATTGGCGAAAGAATGTATCATATTCGAAACAGCCAGAGCGCAGCGAAAGTCCCTCGCTGCATATTTCGCAAAATCTTTTCACGGTTATGCATATTTCCTCGAGTTTAAAGCTGAGGCTGAAGAGGCCGCCGTGGGGACTGACCCAACCACGGAGGAAGGGTCCAGGGCAAGGAAGATTCTCAGCGTACTGGACAATGTGGATTCAACGGTACAAATGCTGAGAGTCGGCGCAAGAAGAGATGCAGGCAAAGATAATGAGCATATTCAAGCGACTGCAGCGGATTTACTTTCAGTCTTGGACGATCGCCCGAGGCTCATGATTATGATGGAGGCAATCGAACAATTGTTTGACGACGAATCTAGGTACAGGAATCCAGCTTTCAGCTCTTTGGCAGGTCTAAAGCTTTCCAAGAGGTTCGACGAAATGGTTACTACAGTATGCTATGGTCTATTCGTCCCCGAAGCGGTTGAGGATTGGAAAACGGGCGATCAAGAGCAAGAGCCGATAGCGAAGCAAGTTCCAAAAATACCACGCCCAGAGTCTATCATTGACAACAAGGTCCGTCCTTTCATTGGCCAAAGGAGTAAAAGGATGCCGAAGTTCACAGATCCGGCTGATGTCCTCGTATTCGCAACGGATATGTATCCAGGACTGTCTGATCTACTTTCGGGCGGCATCCCGCTGTCCAGCTGCGGCAGGAGTGATACTGCAAAGTTATCCGAGATAGAAATCCAAAAGGTCCTTGGTGGACTAGATTCAATGCCGGTTCCGCCTCAGGCTGTCGCCGATCTTTACAAGTCTAGGGCGTCAGTGCCAGTGCCCAAGGTCCCACGGTTCACTAACGCCGACGAGGCCGTGGCATATATGCAATCGCAGATGGAAGGTGCCACAGTTCCCATATCAGTATCGGTGGCTCCCAGCCTTTCTCGTTCTAGTATACAAGACAATAAAGAGGCGGGTTCATCACGTCTTACTGACAAATATGGAGACTCTGTACCCGATGAATATACCGTTGTCCCTGATTCCACCCCCGAAGGCCGGGCATTAGGCAAGGCGATGGAAGACATACAGCTTTCAGCCTGTAAAGGAGATGTTCCGACTGATTATCAAATGGCTGCTCTTGGAAAGGCACGACGAGAGTTGTATGACAGTCGACTTGCAAAGCCTCCAGCTACAACAGGCAATCCCAGCACAGCAAAGCGCCATCCAACCAGTCTATCGGTTTCGGTTCGGGCTGAAAGTCGTGCCGCCACCAATTTATTGGCGAGATCCGAGGCAATGACGCTCGTGGGTACCAGATACTTTCCCAATGCCCAATATGCCGCTCCGTCTGAGAAACCGCGGAATATATCATTCTCGCCGGCAGGCTTTGCGCTTCCGCCGCCCGCCCCTCAGCCTCTTCAGATTCCATCGGCACCAGGCAATAAGCCAGATGCATTACTGGTGTCTCTCCGAACACCCATTACTGAGACGCCTCTCATTGCCGCGCCCATTACGGTAGAGGGGGTCCACCGCGAAGTTAACAAACTCTACACCAGTATCAACAAAAGCAGCGACTTTCATGAATGCCGTACCTCATTGCGCATCCCTGATCCCACCAGCGTGGCGTGTCAGCCTCTACTCGACCTCAACAGGGTTTTCGCCACATACAAGGCCATCCAAGTGATTGAGGAGCGGCGGCTTGATGTCCTCTTGGAAAGTGCTGAAGAGTATCAGAGTAGCATCGAACATTCCATGGAAGTGGCGAGACTTTGGAACCGAGGGCTCGATGCAGCCTTGACCAATGCTAAAGAGTACAGACTATTCAACAAGAGAGCAATTGCCGCAATGAATGGGGAGTATGACGAGATGAATCAGAGCCCCAAACGCAGGAGCCGGAAGTCGGAGAAACGAAGGAAGGGGATGGGGAAAAAGCTGGGTGCCCATCGCAAGAGCATTATCGAGGATTTCGAGGATCCAGTGGAATATCATGGTGATGGTCCGAAACTGGGAACTTTCCCGTTCGCTAGATAACCCAGGAAAAGTTGTTGGAGTAACTGAGCTGTACGTATATTGGAGACAGATTTGTAGAAATAAATGTTCATCCCGTATTTTCCAGCAGAATGCGTGACAAGAATCTACTCTCGATCCCAAATCCGTCAATGAACATGAACGGATGCTTTGTCACCCAAAAGACTACTCGGTGAAGACATTCATCAAAATTCGCTATTCGCCTAAAATACACTCATCTATACGATATAATATTACAGAGCCTCCATATAACTCCCAGCCGCCCAGGCCATTCCAAGGCCTCCCAGTACCCACGCACCAACGAGTTTCTTTCCCCACCAACCCTCGTCTTCCGAGACTTTCGCCGCACGTATCCTCGCCTGTCCGGGTTTTTGGACTGTCTTCGCCTCCGGTGCTGCCGTAGGCTCCTCAGTAGCCTTCTCCTGTCGGCTTGTTTCCGCCTCTCGGCTCAACTTATCCGCCGCTTCTTGGGCATCAGCCAACTCTCTAATCTTCTTGCCTAGTGACAGCAAATCTTCTTTCCACTCCGCTTCCTCTGTGCTATTCGGCCATCGTCCTAAATTCTCTTCTGGCTCGCCAACCTCTACGCCTTGGACGTTTCCGAAAAAGTCCATAATCAGGCGTTTTCGGCCCTCCTCCTCGTCCCCGGGGAAGAGATCCCAGCGGAAGCCAGGTTGTGAATGAATTTTGCTCTCGTCGTACGAGTCAAACAGGTCACCAAGAGTCTTTTTGGATGACGGGTCGCGGACTTGGGTCTCCAAGAAGTCGAGGTTGTAGTATGTGTACCTGTCAATGACGGCAACCCCGACGTCGTTATCCGCGTGGTGAGAGTAACTAGACTCGCCGATTTCCGAGGAGCCAGTCGCGATGATGTTGGGAGAGTAGAATTTCGAATACATGGTGTTCGCCTGGCAGGTATCGATCATGAAGAGGATTTCGTGATAGCGTCTCTTCTCCCACATCTGCTCAAAGGCGTCTGCAAGGTCGAATGCGCTGATCTCTTCGGCATCCTGGAACTTGAGGAACTCGTCGCCTCCGTGGCCGGTCATGTAGATGAGTATATTAGAGTTTTCGTCTGTGAGCAGGCGCTTGCTGCGCGGCATCTCGTCGCCCACGCGGTCGGTGAGCAGGCGGATGAAGTTCTCGACCGTCACTTCGTAGCCACGGTAGTCCACCTCGATGTTGGTGCCGTAGAGATCGACGGCGCGGTCGGAATTAGAGTATACGGTTCCCGGGAACGCGTTGCGAGGGTTGCAGGCCATGTCATCGGGAAGCATGAGGATGATCTGGGAGTCCGGGATGCCCAGGCGCTTCACTGTGCGGTAGAGAGAGAGGACATTGGCGAGATGGCGGTAGTTGAACCAGAAGCGTGAAGTTCCCACGAGGACGGCCCAGTTGGAGGTGTGTTCTGCGGAGGCGTCGGGGAGGAGGGAGATGGCGACGGGGAGTAGGAGGGAGAGAAAGAGCTTCATGGTGAGGAGTTGAGGGGGCGTATGAGTTGGAGAGTTGTGTCGAGGTGGTTCGAGGGAGGGGAAACCTAGCAGGCCACCGGCGTTTCCATGGACAGAGGGACTATGTTCGTGTAATGGGCAATTGAAGCATAGGTTTGTTGAAGAGGCTGTAGATGTGTATAATTCGTAAATGCGGCGTGATACTGTACAATCTAGACTGATATCGGGATATTCACTGTATCCTGATAGTTCTGGGGCGTGGTCACGTGGTTGACAGGTTTTACATAATCACGAGTGTACCTGCACTGTACGGTGCAGCAAGTACCACAGAAGTACCAGATTACCTAATCTAGTACGTACGGCAGGGTGGATCGACCACAATGCAGTACCCATAGGATACATGACTAACTGTAAGCGGCCTAAGTATATTTGAGGTCCCCAAGTGTGCATAATCTGATGTACCAACCGTGATAAATCATTGGTAGATCAATAAAAAGCATTACAAAACATATAAAAAACGTTGGAAAAACCTTAAAACATAGAAAAAAGGTCCCTGAAATAAATATACAAAATATGCCGTTAAATTTGTGAAATTTGTGAAATTTTTAGGGTCCTGCACGGTGCCGTATAAAGGGTCAACTCTGTTTGATGCTGAAAACGCGAATTCCCATAAAAAAACAGGGCGGATATATAGATAAACATGATATAAATATACATCCTCCTCTCGCCACTACATTTTCCCTTTGCTCGTTCGTTGCCTCATTATTTTCTGGCGATGATGCTACTGGTAATCACATGAAAACCGCCTCTCCGCTCTCCGCTCTCCGCTTCTACGTAGTGCTGAGCCCCGTCTGTAGGTGTCCTGTCATGCCCTGCTTAATTCTCCAACTCGACGACTTATTTATTAACCAGAGACCACGATACCCTCTTTCGCCCAAACCTTCCCTCGCTCGATGTGAGATATCCGACGACGGCATAGAGCTATGGCTGGCCCACCCGCTGTGCTCATTGTTGTGAGGTTAGTGCTCTGCTTGTCATTCCATCTCCCCATGCTCCATGTTTTTGCTTATCCGGCCTGGGCGCAGGGTCGCCGCCGCGGCTGTGAGCGATTAATGGCTACGAACCCAGAAAGCTGACTGTTGCTGTCTACTACAGGCACGGAGCTCGTCTGGATGCTGCAGACAAGCAGTGGCATCTCAACTCCCCGACACCCTACGATCCGCCACTCACCTACGGAGGATGGACACAGTCAAGAGCCCTGGGCGCGAGGATAGGCAACCTTCTCAACGCCAGAGAAGCCGGCCTGCAAAGAACGACGACAGACGAAAATAAGGATGGCAAGCCAGAGGCTGCCAAGCCGAAGAAAAAACAGCGCGTTGTAATACACACCTCGCCTTTCCTCCGCTGCGTGCAGACCTCCGTGGCCATCGCGTCCGGCATCGCCCAGAACCCAGCGCGCAACCATCCACGGCGGCCAACCGCGACACAGCTTTCGGATGCTCCAGTATTCCAGTCGACCTCTGTGTTCCAATCATCCCCGAGGATCAGACCCAAAATCAAGACTGATTCTCCGAGGCTGGAGCCTATATTTGAGCCAGTGCCACCAGTGGCCACCAAGGACTCCCCGACGATCAGCAAGGCTACGCTGCGCGTCGATGCATTTCTCGGAGAATGGCTGTCGCCCGATTACTTTGAGCAAATCACCCCTCCTCCAAGCTCGGTGTTGATGGTTGCAGGCGCGAAGGCGGATCTCATGCGCCGAGAGGACTATTCAAACATCACTCCCAGAGAGGCGACGGCCACTAGCGGGTTTCCAGGCGGATGGGGAAGCCCAGTCATAGCCCCTGACAGCGACAAAGAAGATGCCATGATATCTCCCAGGCAACCTGCCTCGCGGGACCGTATCAACAGTGTGAGCGGCGTCAATTCAACTACGAGTCGGATCAGTGGGAGACCTAACACCAAGTTGTCAACCCCACAGAATGGAGAGTGTGCTGCATACGTCCCTCCGATTCCCCACTACGCCGTGTCAGGGTCAGACCCTATTCCATCTGGCTATGTCGCACATGGCAAGGATGCTTGTGTTGACATCGACTTCCAATGGGACAGTATGAGGGAGCCGCAGAATTGGGGAAACGGAGGCGAATACGGCGAAGAATGGAGCTCAATGCACAAGCGCTTCCGCAGAGGCCTCGCACTGCTTGTCGATTGGTACCGCCAAAATGACGAGCCCAAAAGACGAACGTCAAGGCCCTCAACCAGCCAAGGTCCCACTGATACCCCGCCTGAAACTTCAGCCGACGAAGACACAGAACTTGTCATTATACTGGTCACCCATGGCGCTGGCTGCAATGCCCTCATCGGCGCCATGACCAATCAGCCAGCCCTTCTCGATGTCGGAATGGCATCCCTAACTATGGCCGTATTGAAGCCCACACCTCAGAAAACACCGGGCTCGACACCTGGCGTTACACCTGCGCACTCCCATACGTCGTCTAGAACCACAACCCTCTATGACGAATACGACATCAAACTTATTAATTCCACCGAACACATTCGCCGAACCTCCAATGCGTCGGCATCCAGCTCGCGCACACCGTCTGTAAGCGCACTACCCTTCCGTCCACCCAACAGGTACAATGCAAATGGTTCTCTCGCAAATCCTTTCGTGGAGCCAATCACCCTCAGTGAACCAGTTCGCGCGATACCTCAGTCTGGTAACTTTGGGAGTATCAGGCGGACAGCGAGTGTAGCGTCGAGCTCACTCCATAAAAGCTATACGCCGGTTGTGAGAGGAAGTATCGGGCTGTGGTCTGCACCGACCAGGGCCGGCGAAGAGGCTCTCGAGGAAGGGGGCGAAGGCGATGATATGGTACTTAATTTCGGAGACATGGCCATATCGCCCTCCTCCAACCTGGTGCAGTTTGCAGAGCCGAAGCCAGCGAGGAAACTCTCCAGCAACCACGGCGAGGCAGACGAAGTGGCCCCATTGAGCGGTGGACTCTGGGGAACACCACGGGCGCCAGCAGATGCAGGCGTCGTCCCGGAGAGAGGTCACAGCGCCAAGAGACGCTGGATGATCAACGAGAAGAGCACATTATAGCGAACGTGAGAACAGAAAACAAGGGCAGGGCAGTGTTTATAGCTTTGGCTGGGCGATTATGGTAATGGGAACTCATCTCTGGGAGACATGGGAAACCTAAATAGCATTCCTGGGCGATTGTGAATGAGGTGGGATGTGAAGACTTGGTATTAACAAAGCCGAGGCGGCGCAAGCCATAGCAAGAATAAACACCATGTTTTGTCTCGACCGTATAAAAATTTAATAGCAAGTATGCCCGCCAGGTTCCTTCGCGTCTTGTTCAGTCGCCGGTGTCTGGAAACAGCACCTCTACAATCTCACGCCCTTCCATTTCTTTGCTAATATCTTAAGTGGTCATATGTTATTACATATCTTAGCTGGATTTACTTATAATATGATGACTTCAGGATTTATATTCTTCTTTTTAGGTTTAATGCCTTTAGCGTTTATAATTTCTTTCTGTGGTCTTGAATTGGGTATTGCTTTTATACAAGCTCAAGTGTTTGTCCTCGGTTCAAATCCCAGATTCGTCATATTCAATTCTAGCTCCAGGCTCAGAGAATCTTGCCGTTACCAATGATTTATGTTTTATATTTCATCTGACTTCTGGTCTATCTGTGATGTATGGCAGGTAAGGCTTCATCCCTGAAGTCATAAAAATCGCATTACTTTTCCCCCATGTCGAGTTCCGTCCACCAGACATCATAACCAGTCGACGCCTTCCAATACACCACTCTCCATCCCATTCAGCGATTGACTTTTCTTCATCAAACTCTCAAATACCCATCCCCTCATCCCTACCCTTAACACCATTCGTCAACCCCAACTTCTCCCTCACAGCCTCAACTGGCCCCTCTCTCCCAATCCCAAAGAACATAAACAGGGCCCACTTCCAGCGGAAGGGGTTAATAGCAACACAAAACATAAACTACTACACCAACTCAAGGTACGTGAAGAAGTCAAACGTGCCCGTCGGCCTGAAATGTTTCAGCAGCCTCGTCATGCCGATCTAGCACTTTGTCCACTACGGGCGCGGCCGCGTCAAAGGGTCCAGGAGAAACATCAACAGGATGCGGGTGTAGATTCCGATGTGCCAGTTGCCCACGGAGCCGATGGCGTTGATGCATACGCTCGGGTGCTGGGGTGTGAAGGTCTTGAGATACCAGTTTGGTGGTCCGTAGGGGGCCTCGAAGGTTTCGCTCGGGAGGAAGGAGAGAGAGGGGCGGTCGAAGCGGGTTGCGAGGATGACGATGTCGGCGTCGACGTTGACTGTCTTGCCTGGGCCGAGCTTTGGGACGCCCTTGGCGCGCTGGTTGAATTCCAGGCCGTTCTCGGTGAAGGAGAGGATGTCGCCGCGGAGCCACTCGGCGTCGCCGGAGCGGATCAGATCGAAGATGTCGAAGTTGACCATGGGTGTTCCTTCGAAGATGCCCTTGTCTGTTGGGGCCGGTCGGAGGTCACGGTAGAAGAACTTGCGGAGCAGGAATTCGGGAATGAAGCTGAGGAAGGTCTCCTGGCCGAAGATGTTGAAGAAGAGGACATTGACGATGGGTCATCGCTCCTTAGTTACCCACAAGATTGGTTAAGTTATGACATAATTTGACTATAGGGGTACTCTGACCTTGGACCTCCTTTCACTTCCTATAGGCTAGAAACCTAGGAGATGGTTCTATGGGATTCTCTTATGTCGACTACAGTTACCAAGCCTGGTTAGTCATGGAAGTCTTGGAAAATGAGAGAACTACACTCCTTTAGCATAAATAGGATTGCCCTTTTCTCAAGAAAGGGCAAGCAGACAATACAGTAAATCGACTATCACATACTTCCACGTCTTTTCCAAGCTTCCAAGCATTGATCTTGTTACTCCTTGTTTCTGAAAAGTCACTGAGGTGCTAACCTCTGACTTATCCCTGAGTTCTCAGACTCAACATTTGTTACAACTTGTCTAAACCACTCCACTATATCATACACCTGATTGCTGCATTGTGGAATAGTCTAAGCTATGACCCTTTGGCTCTTTTTCTAAGACAGTGTGTTGTCTTAGTAAAATCATCCCTTCCTTGGGTGGCTAGATTCTCACATCTGGTGTACCCACCATTACAAACCCGCCCTAAATGTTGCTTTCAGTCATTACAGTGTTAAATGCAGCATGGAAGGCAGGAAAGAAGTCATCCTTAGTAATGTGAATAATATGAGCCTGCATCATATCTTTAATTTGCCGACCATAAGCCTTCTTTAATATGCTAAAACATCCAACATCAAGTGGCTGGAGTATATGGGAAGAGTGAGCAGGCATAAAAAGCGTAATAATGTTGTGTTCCTTGTAGTATTCCTTAAACTCATCTAAGTGGTGGCTCTCATGACCATTAAGGACTAAGAGGCAATAACCACCAACACTCCAGGTCTTTGTATGCTTCTCAAAATGCTAAATCCAATCCATGCATCTCTCGTTTGTAGTCTAGCCATTTTCTGTGAGGTAATCCATGAGGGTTTCATTCATGTACCTCTGGAATGTTGCTGGACCATTTGTGAGTCCGAAGGGCATGACCTTGTATTTGTAGGATCCAAATCGAGTTCTGAATGTAGTGAGGTCTTCATCTTCTTCTGTCAGCATTTGAATTCGCGCGGGATGATCCATTTGTCGCTGCGAGCGAGAATTGTGGTGTGCTCTGCGTGAGAGTTTGTGGAGAACTCAAGGGCCTCCACGGCAGAGGCGCCTCCACCGATTATTACAACTTTCTTGCCCTTGGCTTCCTTGCCAGTTAATTGGCTGCTGTGGTAGACTTCACCCTTGAAGGCCTGCTGGTTGTTGATGCGCGGGGTCTCCACAAGTGCCTACGGCGGCGATGATACCGTCAAACTTGCCGTTGGATTCGCTGTTGACAATCCAGCGCCCCTCTGAGTCTGGGTCACCTTGTCGACTGAAGTGTTGAAGGTGGTGCGTGAGTCAAGGCCATAGCGTTTCCAAAGCTCAGCCACCTGCTGGACAATTTACTCTTTGTTTGGGTCGCGGCCCACTGAACAGACGGATGGAAGCGGTACATCATCGAATGGATCTGGAGGCCAGAGGTATTGTTCACTCTCTATAGTCTGGTCACCATCAATGTCTCAAATTGTTAAAAAGTATCACTCACACTCCAAATCCCCCAAGCCCGTCTCGTTCCTCCTTCTCAAAAAGCTGGACGTCGAAGCCATGACCGATACAGTGAGCCGCGCTGGACACGCCGGTGATACCTGCGCCAATAATAGCGATACGAGGGCGCGCCAGTTTAGAATTCGGCGGCGGGGGAGTTGGGGACAGAAGCTTATCAGCTAGGTATAGAAATAGAAATAGAAACGGGTGAAGCAGAGGGTTATCCACCTTTCAAGATATATACTCCTACCCTGACAGGAAACGGAGGTGATGATATATATGTTATAGACAACAGAAGAAAGAAAGAAAAATATAATAATAGAAATAGAAGATTGATTCTGGCTCTTCAGATCTCCAACTGAGGCAAGCGACGGGGAAATATTTGGTGAGGTGATAATTTTCTGGATATTTCAGTGTGCGGCACAGATACCTGATTACCTGTGGTGTTCAGGTAATTACCTGGGTAATTACCTACCTGGGCTCATTCTCAAAATACCTGAGTATCCCGGTATTTTCAGATACTTACCCAGATACATGCCAAGTATTGCCAAGTGTAGCCAAGCCGCACAAATGCTAACGTTGAAATACTCGTCTTCATGCTTGATATGGTGATAATTGCCGTGAAAATGAGTGACTCTCCGTCGTCAGACGTGCCGACGGACCTTGATGGCTATAATCCTCACGATGAGCCAGCCCTACCAGGGCTTTTTACCCCTTTTCAGCAATCAAATCCAATTCCTGTCCGTCTACACCCGCCTAGCCAAATGCTACCGCCAACGCAGTCGCTGCTGTTCACGAAGGAACTATATTCAAGAATACTACTTGAGAGCAACCCGCCAACTATCAAAGTATGCTGTATGCAGCCTAATTGCGGATACTCGCCCGCAGCTCAAACCCATGCTCAAGCTGCTGCTTCAACTGGCAATCTTTGGAAACACTATAGTCTTAAGCATAAAGGAATCTATGATGCTCTTAAACACAAGAATACAGCGCCTTCAAGTCAATCTAGCAGCACATCATCATTTTTGAGCCTCGGAGACCAGCGACCCATGAATCAAGACCAACAAACAATCCAGCCAAATATAGAGAGTTAGTGCTATCGTTTATAGTATCTAATAACCTGTCTTTACGCATTATCGAAAGCTATTCATATCGTCAATTAGTACGGTTCTTAAGTCCATCTGTGTTATCACTTTCGTCAAGAACATTGCACCGAGAACTACAACGCCAATTCTCATATCACCGAGGCATACTACAGCTTGAACTCCATTCTCATATTATACATGGAGGCCGGATATCCATAACGACAGATGCATGGTCTGCACGGAACTATACAGAGTATGCTGCTGTTACCGCTCATTGGATTAATGATAAATGGCAGCAGAAATCAAAATTGCTTGATGTGATACATCTTCAAGAGCCTATTCATAGCGGTGAATACTTAGCTCAGCAATTAGCAGCTGTAACAGATAGTATAGCTATTACAGGCGCTATCTTTACATGCACCCGAGACAACGCATCATCAAATACTGTGATGCTCTCAGAATATGAGAAATTGGCTAGCAACGCCCAAACATCAACTCAACAACCTTGGACATTTACTGTCAAAGAAGGCGATGTCCGGTGTATTGCACATATCATAAATCTCGCAGTTCAAGCCGCTCTTACGAGTTTAAAAGCAGAACCAGATGTAGAGACAGAGACATACCGGTGTGAGCAAGGTGCAGCTCGGATTCCATTTAGTAGAGATAGTCATGTGGAAGTCATGAATGCTCTTGCAAAGCTACGAAGACATATCTATGTCTTTCGTAATCGACGAGCATGGAAGGATGCTTTACAACGACAAGTCAAAGCTATAGGTTTAAAACCACAGCAACTATCACTTGATATGCCAGTACGATGGAATTCAACACATCGTATGCTTGATACAGCATTAAAACTCCAAATACCAATCACAGCAGTATGCATAACACAACAGCTTGATATTAGTATGAAAGATATTGCATTAACTACAGGAGATTGGGCTGTTATTAAAGATCTTGAACGACTGTTCTTAATATTTCTCAAACCATCAAGACGGCTACAAAGTGATACATATCCGTCACTTAACTTTGCTATTCCACTTTATCTTAAAATGATAAATAAAGTTAAGAAGATGCAACAAGAAGTTGGCGAGCACTCAGCAATTGGTATTGCATGCACAGTAGCTTATCAAAAGCTTCACGCGTATTATACTCTTGCAACAAATCAGCAATGTAAGCACTCAGCTGTAGCTACAATTTGCGATCCACTGATGAACCATACAGTGTTTAAAAAGATATATCCAGATAGTACAGATCATGTACGAATCACACGGGCAAGAGCACAGTTTGAAGATGTTTGTAGAACATATAAGACACGGCAATATCATCTTGATACAGAGCGTATTGAACGTGAAACAGCTCTTGCAGATGCATTAGGAAATGCAAATACTAGAGTGCAAGAACCAGATTCTGATGAAGATTTATTTGCATCAGAGGGTATATCATTTGAAGAACCAGAATGGAAACGATGGATGCTTGAACCACGGCCTGGTGAGCATACTGATATTCTCAAATATTGGTCTGCAAAGCAATATCAATATCCAATAATTGCTCAAGTTGCTCGAGACCATCTTGCAATTCCTGCGACATCAGCACCATCAGAACGGGTATTTAGCAATGGTAGCGATATCATTACTAAGAAAAGGAATAGATTGTCGCCATCGACAATTAGATATCTGCTTTGCTTACGGAATTGGGGTTATTTACCAGATGCCGACAGCGACGGTGATGATGCAGATGATGAGGCAGAAGAATAGGAATAGGGGCTGTCTATTTTATTATTATATTTGTCACGAGTTTCACTTTTCTAGTTACATATTCTAGTTACATATCATTATCTATTTCAAATATCAAAAGCGTCATTTTTGTATACGGAATTGAGGCTCAACTACCTGCTAAAGTATCTGTAAATACCTACCTTACCTGAGCAAAGCCGCTCAGATACTTACCTTACCTGGCGAGGACCCAGATACTACCTGGGTAGTATCTGCCGAACACTGGGATATTTTTGGTTAGATTTTGAAAAACATATCACCATATATGGTAATAAAAGCCCCAACATTCACCGGCTCAATTGAAAGTTGTAAGTTGCACATACAGGAAAGTCTTGATATAAGAATACCTTGGGGCCCCGGTATCGACCCTTCTGTCGAAGAATCTTTATATCAAGTCCCGTCACGATGCATGGATGGAGATCATGTTACGCTTCTACTGTAACACATAATATTTGTTGCCAAAGCTAAGGAATATAAATCTTAATCATATAACTCAATTGACCGACCGACTCCAATCCCAAGCACCTTGCGCATCCCCATGCCTCTCCATACAGTTACACGTGGGGAACCCCCCCCCCCTGCTCCAAGCAAATTTTTAATCAGCTATCCCCATTCCTAGTGTATTCTTTCCACCTCTGATCAGGGCGATTCCCACAGTCGCCCATCGACTCAGCTCCACGACGTAAAAGCATTCCAAACAGCCATCATTGCTTTCGTTTTCCCGAAAGCCATCCCTACCCCCAAGCATTTTTTTCACCCCCCATCCCACTACTGCCTGCCGAATACTTGTCTTATTTTCCGCTCATCTCCGGATGTAAAAGCATTCGAAACAACGACTTTTGCTTTCGTTCCTCCACATGTCGCGCGTCTCCTTTAGCACCCTTCTTAAGACACTCACGTCGCTCCATCTCATCCGGCACATCAGAGAAGAGTTCGCAGTTATGGGTCACGCCGCCATACACCATAGAGTTGCAGAATCTCTCGTCATCCTCCATCTTTTCCGTGATAGCATCATTGGTGATGACGTCGAAATGGCAGCCGAGGACAAATTTGAATGGTGCGTCCGCGGGCCACCTTCTGTCCAGGTAGCGCTTGAAGCCCACCAAGTTTTTTGACAGCGCGCGGCGCTCAAACCACCACGAGACAAGGAGAAAGTACGTGCCGTCTGGATGAAGTCGGCAGTCCAAGACCTTGGCGGGCTCGTTATGGGGGTTTCCATTCTCTGGGCTGACGAGGGTGACCATGATATTGTCAAATCCCGCGATTTTCACCGCTGGATCTTCTGGGAGTGGAACCGTCGTAATTTCCATGTCTATCCACGGCATCTCGTCGCTGTTTTCAGGCCTAGGAACTGGCCTAACAGTGCCTTGCAAGTGGTCAGGGACAGCATAGAGTCGTTTATCTGGAGGAACCTCATCTGAGCTGTCATCATCTGTGTCATTAGACTCGGAGTTAACACTTTGGGACGGTGGTCTCTTCCTGCGAGGCCGGTGACCAGATTCAGACGCAGGAGTTGATACAGGGCTTGGTTGCTGGTGCGGTGACGCCCTCTGGGAAAGGTGTTAATACGAGAGTCAAATGGCCCACAAGGTGTCATAACTTACCTTGCCCCTCCTATCTGCCCGGTCTCTCCTCAGCCTTTCCATTTTCTCCCTCCCCCTTGCTGAAACATTCCTCGGTTTGGCGTCTGCCGAGGACATCTTGACATCCTCGCCTCTCGACAATTTGACCTTTGCCGTAGCTGTTTTCGGCCGTTTTGAGACTCTTTCCGCCTTTTTTGCTTTTTGCGGGCCGTTACCATAGATCGGTGGCGGATTTACCACTTCATCTCTGTAGAGATATGTGTTTGTCTTCTCGTTCCATCCGCACACTAAGCGGAGAACATCTTTTGGCTCAGAGCTTGGCGATTCAGCAGTGGGAATCTCGGAATCTGATTGAGGGGGCTGTGCCATGTTGGCAGAGGGCAGCCCACCCAGCGTACTGATGAGGTTTGAGGAAGCCCAGGAGTAACTTTCTTTGATGATAGTCCCGTGACTGGCTGTCCTGTGATGGGGAAGGTGGACAACCCTATACAAGAGACGCGAAGAACTCGCAGACAACGCGACAGTATAAAATATTAACCGGCAGGATTTTGTATGAAATGTTTGGTGGATTTTGATGTGAAAGGAACACACGAGAATGATTGATGGATGATGGAAAATGTGATCACCGTGCCATCCCGTGTAATACCACGTAAGATGATGCGCTTGTTGTTCGGCGGCCGTGCCGCGCTTAAGATTTTCTCAACCAAGGAAACCACCAGGACGTATCTTGTCTCTTTTGAGAAGGAAGCAAGGGGTAAAACAAAAAGATCACCCTCGTACTTCATCGAAGGCACTCTGGTATCACTTTGAGATGGAATGAACGAATTGTAATAAATGCGATAACCAGGACTTACTATCCGTTTCCCGCTTTAGGCGTGGTGGAATGTAGTGGTCACGTGACCGCTCATTGTCGGCACTTCTCAAACTGAGAAGAATATGAATAGAGCAGAATGGAATAAAAGCCTTTTCCACTATCTTTGACCGAATACAAGCGTCAACATGTCACAGTACGTCAAATGCGGGGCGTTACGTCCCGCTTGAAAGCTTCTCTATGTGTTTTGTATACGCATAGTCGCCATCTCACGCTCTTCCGTCTGGCCTAGTCGTCTTCCATATGCTGTAGCAGCTGATGAAGTCCAAATAAACCTGCCAATCCACTCATAATGCAGCCCTGCCAGCCACCGACAGACTGCCAGAGAGGAGGCGCACCACTGCCAGATTAACGTGGATGCGGTCCAAGCGGCGAGGGTGGAGTTGGACAGGCACCATCAGCCAGCAACGGCCAAGATAAACATTTATTCCATCCCCCAGGTTTTGGTCAGGGTTCTTTGATAGGCATTCCCCGCACATCCGAAGCATGGGCGCCGCTATCACTGGGGTCGGCATCTGGTGACTTCGAAATCTCCCCAACTTCAATCTGGGAATGCTTGCCTGGCCGTGTATTGAGTCCAGTCGGAGTCGATGGCACCCTACGATGACTCTGCCTCTTCTCTCGGAACTCGGCGGCAGAGGAGAACCGATCTCAGATTCGGATGCGTCTCCAAATATACCCAGAGAGCCTCACAAAGAGCTCGCATTCTTCAACGTCAGACGCCCTCAGGCGCCGTAGTTTCGTCTCAATGATATTCTGCTCTATGACCTCCCTCTAGTGGTCTCGTTAATGGGAGATATTAACCACGGACAACGAGCCGCCGTACCGCATTCTCCATCTTATTCTGGCAACGAGTATACCAAAGAGTGGATACTCAACCTGCGGAAGACTGCTGTTTATATTTCCATGCAGCTGCTAAAGATCTTGGTTCTCCGATGCTGGTTAGCATAGCCCCGACGGGCACCAAAGCGGCGCCAATGTGGCAACTCTATAAATCATAGATGATAGATGAATGGGTTAGATGGCTGGGTGCTCAAATTCGTACCTGTACAAATTTTTATTACTGGGGAAGACACTACTGTACATAGAACTTGGTGTAGAAAGGAAACTATAAAAGAGTGGGTTCAGTGGGATTCTAGATTTCTAGGTTAATACAATCATTTGCTCTGGTATCTCATTCTGACTATGTGCATGTCGTCTGTGAGACCAACTGCATTTCGATGATGTGACGTTGGGGCAAGTAATATATATCACCGTGTCCTTTCGGCACAGCCCAAGTAGCCTCTCCAATATATAACCTCACTAGACACGGCAGGTAATTCACCATGTATCTTAGTATTGACATCAGTGTATTTGTTATTCCCAGAATCCTACATGACAGTGATATTACGCGTGTTGCACACCCCTTTCCCAATAAAACACAACCCTAGATAAATGAAAAGAAGAATGGTCCTAGCCCAGACACAACCAAAATGATCCCCACACTCGAATTATGCTTTTCCTTCACAATCCACTTTAAGCCTTAACATTGACTCCATCGACTCTCGCCCTCCACACCTCTGCCGTCCCAGGCTGGTAGCCGTCGGCAACACTAACCGACTCCTCGCTATCCGCGTACCCCGGCAGAGTCTCAGAACCCATCTTCGAGCCGGTCTCCTCCACGGTATACTCAGGTAGAGTCTCCATCGTATCTGCGCTTCCGCATCTGGCGTACCTAGATCCCTCCGAGGACTGCGAGACGATGTCATCGACCGCCTCCGCCGCATGCCTCAGGTCCGCGATCTCAGTGGCGATGTGGCTAGGCGAAGAGTATGCGGGATGTGGCTTTGTGCGGGGAAGAATCTCGTCCTTCTCGCTGTACTCGCGCTTCCTTTCTCTGCATCGGCGGCGGCGCCAGCCACCGCAGCGACGTCTTCTCCTTGGGGACTCGTCGCGGCCATAGCCGGAAGCGTCGCAGGACGCTGCGCGTTTGGCGCGGTGGATGCGGCGGCGGATGTGGAACATTAGGACGGCGAAGAAGAGGACGGCGAAGACGATAAGGCCGGGGTGGAGTGCCTTGCGGACATGGCGCCACTTTCCTTTGTGGCCGTGGTAACCGTGGTGGCCGTGGTGAAAACGGTGGTGTGGCTTGTCCTCATCATGATGATGGCGGTCATCAGGGGTTCCCTCCTCGTGTCCAGGTCTCATATGGTGCTTATCATCATTGTGCTCATCGTGATGCTTGCCTCCATGGCGGTCGAGTTGGTTGTACTTTCCTGGATGGGGCTGACCGGGTTTTTTGTCACAAAAGATAGACTTCACCTTGGACGTGATGTGCTTCACAGTTTCTTTGGTGTTGTGGACGGCGACCATGAAGAAGCACTTCGCTGAGTCACAGAGTGCGAAGCCCTGAACTGCATCCACATCATTAGCGACAGGTTTTTCACTGTTCGCAGTCTGAGCCCCATTTGGTACGGGGTGAGCGGCTCCAGTCTCTGAGTCTTCCTCGAGTTTCTGACCCTTGAATGGGGAAAGCTCTAGGTAGATAGGCTTCGGATTTTTGCTCAACTTTTTGATGTCTAGGATTTCGAGCGATGTATCGTCGTGAGAATAAAGAACCGTCAGGCCCAGATTGTTGACAGGCTCGCCGTTGACGTTCTTCACTGCGAATTCAAGGGTGCGCGTCAACGGGCCGCAGGTGAGAGCCCATTTCATCAGTATGTTATTTAATCCAAGGTATTCTGCGAATTCAAGTGCACCGATCGTGCCATAAGACACTGGGATTCCATTGACGACGAGATCTCCCGATCCACACTCAGGCCCCGACTGAGCGAGGTCGATTCTAAAACCCTGGGGTCGTGTTAGCAACCATACGCGCTACAAGCTAGAGAATAACGGCTGCGTACCAGTGCAGAGGAGGATACTGGGTCGTCCGGTGTGGTAGTTACGATTGGGATGGATAGGTGAACGACATGGGAGACTTCGGCTGGGCAACGGTTAGATGCGACGACGGCGACAGGGACAAATTAATCCCGGATGGAGTTCGAAACTTACTGTGAGTTGCAGAGGCAAGATGAACACCGTCCCAGGTATTGGGAACAACGAGGGCCGATGCCAACGCTGGCGTCAAGAGCGCGGTTGCGAGGAGGCCACGCATCACCGGCAGGCAGCGACGATAACGCGGCGCGGATGGGGGGATAAGGGAATAGAGGAGACAATAAAAGGGACGATTGGAAAGAAACGGAATCGAAAGAGTGGCGATATAGATGAAGGAATTGGGGAGGGACTATGGATATCCTCCCATTATTGTCCCACAGTGATAGAGAGCCAAATGGCCGCGTAAGTCATTTCTTGGAGTACACAGCCTCCCTCACCATTGGCCGATGGCGCGGATGTAAGCAGTAATACAGCTAACGCGTTGTGAAACTTTGTAATTATAATATTATAAGTTAATAGAAAATAGAAAACAGAAAACAGCTCTAGCATCAAGCTTCAGTGTACTCCGCCAGCAATGAATCGTTATTATTGTTTATTGTAACCTTGAGAGTCGTATTCAGCGGGGAATTTATGATGATCACGTGACAGGCCGTCACTATGGTCGCTCTAGACCGTCCAAGCAAGCATCGCCACCGCGTCTCTCAGCCTCATCTCTTCACCACAGTGAAGCTATCCACAACAGGCCAACCATGGTGCGTACACCCTGCTCCTACCCTGCTTCCACCGACTGCTTTGATGCGCCGCGCTTGCCACTACCATCGAGATATACTAACGCGTTTTCCAGCTTCCATTGGGCCTCCTCACTGCCGCCCAAGGGCATCCCATGCTCGTGGAACTTAAGAATGGAGAGACGCTGAACGGCCATCTCGTGTCATGCGATACCTGGATGAACCTCACCCTGAAGGAGGTGGTGCAGACCAGCCCTGTATGTCTACGCAACCCCACCCATGCCAACAGCTATGCGCCGAATCGGTTTACACCCCCAAAACGCACCATGGCTAATTTATATTCTTGCTACAGGAAGGCGACAAGTTCTTCAGACTGGCAGAAGTGTATGTTAAGGGAAACAATGTATGTTTGGACCGCCTGACGGACTGGCTATTACAGATGCTAACAGCCCCAGATCAAATACCTCCGCGTACCAGACGAGATTATAGATTTGGTTAAGGATCAACAACAAGGACAACACGGCAGTGGCTACAGGGGAGGACGCGGAGGATCAAAAGGAGACCGCGGCGGAAGGGGAGATAGGGGACGTGGAGGCAGAGGTGGAGGAGGTGGCAGAGGGAGGAGAGGGCAATGAAATATTGCTTGACGATACCCGGAGCGGGAGACCTCGCCAGCGAAATTGAGGGCTGATGCCAGACTACATTGGAAGACGCATAGCTTGGCTGGAGTCCGTCAGGATTCAACGGCGCCACCACAAGTGGCTGGGCAGGAATGAGAAAAATGCCCAGCTATGGCATAAGTTGGAGCTGTATAATCATCATATAGAATCCACGGAGCAGTAATTGAACAATCTGCCTCAATACCGCTTCCCTCGCGCTCTCCATGAATATAAGAAATATATGAGCCAATGTGCACGTGACATATTTAGCGCAAGGCTGACAATAAAGGTTCAACTTCTTGATGCGTCGTCCCTGGCAAATTCGACGACGAAATCCCAACGCCAATGTCAGCTCCGCGAATTGCAGTCGACGGGCTATGGCGCTTCCTCTGTCCTGCATTTGATTCAATTGTACTGTCTAGGGCCCGATTGCCTGTTTCAAGGGCGAGTTATCGACCATGCGTACCCCGGAGAACATTGAGACCTTCCAGCTTGAAGCTCCCAGTAGCCGCTTCTCGACGCCAGAATTCCACTCTTGCGAAATCGGTCAACGTATCGAATGATGGGGATTTTGCAAGTGAGGTATTGGATGTCAGCGAATCTATCTCCGAAACCCCTCTGCCGGACAAATGGGGCGCACTTTCCATCGTGGAGCTGCATGACATTCTCCGGACAGTGCGAGACGAGAGTGGCTCATACCAGAAAACGATCCACCTAGTTCAGTACCTGATTAAGAACAGAGGGGAAAGACCGAATGTGCGGCACTTTGATGTACTTATTCGGGCGAATGCCGATGCAGAGAGGGGGAGTGCGGAAGAAGTCGAGGGGTTGCTGAAGGAGATGGACAAGCAGGGAATCATTGGGGATTCGGGCCTGTATCATAGCGTTTTGATGGTATGTTTATTGTCGCCTTGCCGCAATGCGATAGTATACTGACAGCTCACGTAGACTTTGGCCGTACACCCCAACCATCTCCTGCGGGCGGAAATTCTAACAGAGATGAAAGCCCGCTGGATCTCTCTCACCCCACTCGGCTATCACCACCTCATCATCTCTCACCTCCGCGACCGCGAGTACGAACTAGCTCTATCCGTATTCTACTCCCTACACCATCGCCACATCTCAGTAGAACCATGGCTTTACGATATCTTAATTTACGTTTTCTCAGAAGCCGGCGAGCTTTCTACGGCTCTCTCCATCCTCCAATCCCGCGCCGAAGACCCAGACCGCAATCCTTTATACCCAGATCCGCAGGATGTCAGCCCTGGCGTCTGGCCATACTTCCTCGACACTTGTGCTGCGGCATATGACTACGCAGGCGTGTTATATATGTGGCGTAAGCGCGTGGAGATTGACTATCTAAGACCGAGCGATGGCACATTGGCAAATGTTCTCAACACTGCAGCGCTGGCTGGTGATCCTGCGCTAGCGACCAGTGCCCTGAAGATGCTCGCGGACAGGAAAGGGGAACTGCCTACCAGCAGTTACGAGGCCATGTTGGAGGCGTATGCGACAGCCAAGGATGTGACGAATGCGTTTCGCGTACTGTGTATCATGGGCAAGGCAGGTGGAGAAAGCACGAGCAAAACACCCAGCTCGGCAACGACACGGCCTCTATTCAAGCTTCTCCGAGAAGAAGGGCCGGAAGTCATCCAAGATGCATGGAAGGCTTTGACACTGTTGCAGGAGGAGGGGAAAGAGATTCCCATCGCTGCTGTAAATGTTATCCTGGAAGCTGCCGCCTCGTCCGGAGAATTGGGGTTGGCAATGCGTCTCTACAAGGAGCTAGTCAGCTCTCAATCCGCGCCCGCCTCGAAGACATTGCAGCCAGATAGCCCCTCGACCGAAGTAACCGCCCGTCCTAATATTCGATACAAGACAGCACGCAAAACCCTGCGTGTCCACCCCGACACGACAACGATCAACGTGCTCCTCCAAGGCTGCACGAAGATCCGCAGCTCTCTCAGCCCCAAACGAATGGCAATGTACCTCGCTTCCGAGATGGCGCGGCAGGGCATCCGGCCCGACGAGCTGACGTACGACCGGCTCATTCTGGTGTGTCTGCATGAGGGACAGCAGGATTACGAGGACGCGTTCCGGTATCTGGAAGAGATGGCGGCGATGGGGTGGCAGGGAAGGGTGAGGAATGGGACGTGGCATGCGCTTGCACGGCGGTTTGCGACGGAGCGGGATGGGCGTGTGGATACGGTTTTGGAGATGATGGATGTGTTGGGGTTGGAGACGGGGAAGTTGAGGGGTGTGGTGGGGGAGTTGTGGGAGGCTGGGCCTGGGGAGAGACGTAGGGCGGCGCGGGATGGGGTTTCAGGTGGTGAGGATGATGGGATGGCGGTGGATGTGGGGGTTGGGGATGGCGTGGAGGGCGGTACGGGAGAGGCGCCACAGGATGAACAGCCTGTCTGGGGTAATCTGCGGAGGAAGCATGGCTCATCATGATTTAGAGGCAATCTACTCGTGCGGTTCAAACTTGACGATGGTACTGTATATATTAGCCACCAAGATCTTACGAACAGCTTTATTGGCGGCTTGATTGTTCACGTATAGTCCCTCTCGAGGCTTACGTTCTAGACGAGTACGTTGTATTGGTGGTTACAAATATTTATTACAAGTAAATATGCTAGGTGCAACAGATTTGATATCCTGTCAGGGTTCTCCCACACTTGTTCCCTCATTTTATGCTTTCGTAGTTCATACGTGGAACCAACCGGCACAAGCCATCCACCCCACTGACCAGCTTTCAGATAGCCATGCAATATGGCTTGGTGGAGCTGGGACTATGGCCACGGGAACCTCTGGCGAGAAGCTCTGAGATGATATCGACAGAGTTGTTCTCCCTAGGTGGCTATTGACCCCGTTCTGTCTCGTATGGCCACCGGGTCTTCAACGGAGTATGTGGACAGCCTTGCATAGCCCGACAAACCTCCCCAGTCATGGCCAGCCATCTGCGCGTTGAGCTCAGCTCATGCTGTGATACACAGCTATTCTTCACACCACCGTCATACACTAGGCCTCATCTTGCCGCTCTCAGGTCTTCTTCTCAGCAGCCTTCTTCATCTTAAAATCCGCCACCCACTCTGCTGCTTTCAGCTTCGGCACCACAAACACCCTCACAACCTCATCCACCACCTCCACAGATCCGCTCGTTAGAAGTTTCAGCAACGTCACCTTCGGCCCCACCTTGATAAGCCCCCCCGTCATCGTCTCCACGTAGCACTCCACGCCCCTCGGGGTATACTCATGCTGGCTATCCCACGGCGCCTGCTCAGCAAGGATATACCCCAGCCTCTCACCCACCGTCTCCGTCTCGCCAAACTCCTTGATAAAGTCGCTCTGCAAGACGAGCGGGTACAGCAGCACAGTAGGGAAGACCAGGGAACTCGTCGGGTCCACGAGGTCCGGCACGAGTCGCACCTTCGCATCCTCCATCTCCGGCGGCTGCTCCGTATTGCGCATGCGGATCCCCCGCGCCTTCAGCGCAGCTTTCAAGACGTATGCCTCTTGCTTCACGCGCAGTGCAGCAGCTTCCTCTTTCTGCCTCTTCGCGTCGACTATCTCCGCCTTCTCGATGATCTGTTGCGCGAGGAGCTTGAGGTCCTTATGCTCAGGATCAAGCGCCAGGCCGTGCGCGCAGGTGTCGTCTGCTTCGCGGATCTTGGAGAGAGCGAGAAGCGCGACTCCCGAGCGGTAGAAGGCCTTGATGTTCTTGGGGTTTATGCGGATGACTTGCGCGCAGTCAAGGGTGGCGGATCTGTAGTTCTTGAGCTGGACGTGGCAGGCTGAGCGGTTTCCGAGGCAAGCTTCGAGGAGCTTTAGTTGCTCTTTTATCTCGGCTTCGTCTTCTGCGCTCAGGGTGCGTGGTGCGCTTTTGTCGGCTTGTGGTAAGCCTTCTTGTAGGGTCTTCTCTTGGGCTCGTTTCCGCTGCTCGGCTTGTAGTACGGTTATAGCTTTCGAGTAGAACTCTTTCGCGTCGGCCCAGCTCCGTAGTTTGAAGACGTCGTTGCCCTGCTCCTTGAAGTTCTGGGCGACCTCGCTCGGTGTGCCTTCGTAGGCGAGCGCTTTGAAAGCCTCGAGTTCGTCATTGTCCTCCAGCTCCGTCATAAACAGGGGCGTTTTGTTTAAATCGGCGAGGATATCGGCTGAGGAGAGGTTGCGGTAGGCATCCATAGACGGTGGGAGCTGGGGCATCGTTGTGGACGAGGCGGGGTTGGTCGCGGCGGGGTCGGCCATGGAGTATGACATGATGGCATCGGCAATCATGTCTGGGGTCGGCTCGGAGGGGGCGGGATGGTCGACGACCTCGTTTTCTTCGATAAAGCCCATGGCGAGTGCTTTATACGCCTATTATGGCGAGTAGTGAGACTGGCTGGTGGTTTCTCGACAGTGATGACGATCTTGGTGGTATTTCAAAAGTTAAAAAAATTACGGCAGGGTAGATGGCTGGAGCGGGACAGGACTAGCGTTCTTCCGTCGGCGGGCCGTGCCGCAGAGTGTAAACTTACGCCGTCAGGACATTGGCGGCAATGGTTCCTCCCAACAGATGAATAAATAACATTATTTGTACTCTACGGTAAGTCGATGGCCGAGGGGAGAAGAGGAGCAGAAGGCTAAGTTAATCAAATATGAGTTTTATTCTGTCACCATGCCTTTTTATCACGCTCAATCGTAGGTGGGAACTTTGAACACCTGCAGTATCAAACGGGAGGTTTCCGCCAGAGTCTTATGGTCTACTGCCTCAACATATAGCTTTCACTGTGGGCGTTGAAATCAATTACTTGCTCTTGTGGCCGATGACCCCATTTATTGCGGAGTAGTCACTCAGGGTCATCCAGCGTCAAGTCATACCATTGGCAGTTTTTGAGACGTGAACTTCACTTTCATAGATGGTGTATTTTCTATACACTACATGCTGAACGGTTTCATTCTTCTCTCAGTTAAATGTGAGGTGGTAGATATTCCAGTCGGTTGTCTCCTCTATTACTGCAGTCTATTGAGACAAGCTTGACAGGACAACGTCAGTCCTGTCCACTTCGCTCGTGCAATACGAAGACAGCATCTGCTGTCTTCGACGTCAACTCTTATTTTAGCTGAAGGAGGAGCATAATATCAATCCTACTTTCTACAACGTCCATCTTACTTCTCGTCATAAAATCGTACCAGCATCCAGATACCCACAACGTTGAGCAACTTCAAGTGGTTTCGAGCTACAGCTTCCTTCCAAATGTTTGCCAGCTTCACCTGCCAAAGTGGCTCACTAGGTTTGAAGCTAGATGAGCCCCGGGCTTGAGTGAGGATTTATTTTCAATCGAAGTTCTTGCTTTCTTTTGCCTACCTCTCCTAGACCAAATCGAGGCGTCGAGGCTCATTTGTCTCAAATCAACAGAGCCATTATATTTTCACCAACTTGCCCAATACTAACCTCTGATAAGACGAGCCTCCCTCGATCTTCAGGCCAAAGGAGCCAGGATCTTTTCACCGACTTCTTGAAACCCAAAATCCGAGACAGCGAGGCTCATCTTCTTCGGGCCAACAGAGCCACCATCTTTTTACCAACTTCTTGAAGACCAATCCGAGTCGGCGAAGTTCACCTCCCCTCAACCAAACAAAACCAGTCTCTGTTGACCAAACCACTCAAAACCCAAGCCCCACTGAAAGTGAATTTTTCAATTACCAACATCTGGTTTAGTCACTGGTGATACTGCGGATGAATGCTGCATGAAGACAAGTGTCTTCATGCAAGACCGGTTTTGGCCATTTACAAAAATAATCCGGTAAGATTCGCATCGTGCCTTTTACTTTCTTTCTTGATGACCAGCGTCTAACCCAGGATTCTCCCTAGTGTTTATGTTGAAGCAAGGGTCCTCGAAGCTGGTATTATTCTTGCCGACTTGCCAGGTCAGTGGCTCTGAATCCTAGGCGATACTACAGATCAACTGACGATAGACACAGGTTTGCGTGATACCAATCTCGCAAGAGTAAAAGCGACACAGGGTTATCCCTTGAGGTGTGATCATATTTTCCTCGTCACAAAAACTTCTCGAGCAATCAGCAACGAGTCGGTGAAATCGTCTCTCGCTTCCGTCGTATCCAACCACGCTGGGCTAGAATGGGACAAAACTGGAGGAAAAGGCATGAAAATCGCAATCGTTTGCACTAATTCGGAGGTTGTACTCAACTTCTCAAGTTTGTTCGAGTGGTGGCTTACCATAATAGGAGATCAATGAGAAAACGGCGAGACGGGACTCTTGTGGACCCAATAAAAGAATATCAGAAGAAGTGATGGCAAACCTTGACCGAGATATTGATAAGGCCAAGGCAAATGGGAACCAATCTCGTGCAAAGAAATTGAAGTTAAGGTAGGTTATACTAATTTGGGCATTACCGGAACCCGGCTATTAACTATTTTCTAGACGGCGGCGTTGGCTGCTTATCAACGCTCGCAGTGCGCACGTGGAGGAAGAACTGAAGATAGTTTACGAGCCAGAAATTGGAGAAGGAGCACTGGAAGTATTTTGCGTGTCTGACACATCGTATGAGAAATATGCCAGAAAAGGAAATGCTGAAATGGTTCTGGCCTCTGGCATACCAGCGGTTCGACGATTCTGCTACACCATAACTGCTCATGCGCAGGAACTCCAGGCCATCAATTTCCTTCACTCGACACTATCGAGCCTTCTATACTCTGCAGAGCTACGGGCAGCTAAACCTACAGTACAACCACGCTAGACAAAAAAATATTTCACACTCTTCGTGACGTCGAAAAAGAGGTTTGTAATATTCGTCCCGCTAGATTATGTTAGCTAACCTTGGGAGGTCACGGCTGTGTCTCGATGTAAAACTGGTTTTCTGGACGGGTTTCAAAAGGACATTCTTACATTTCTAGGTGAGCTTAGCTATAAATTTTTGGGATGATGAGCTGATTATATCCGCCGAAGACAAATTAATTGGCAGCTGGGAAATTGCTGCGAAAGATAAAAGTTCAGAGTGGTATTCGGTAATTTCCACCTCTCGTCATCAGCAATTCAAATTCTAACATAATACAGTGGCATTACAGTAACCTATCTCAGCATACATATCCCTAAACTCTAAGCAAACTTTAGGATGTGTAGGTCAGTTTAGCGCTTGGTGTCGGAACATGGTAACCATAAGACGAAACGCTGAGCGAAAACAAATTGGAACGGCAAACTCATTTGGAAAATGAGATCAGAGATGGAGTTCCAATGGGAAACATTACAATCGCACAGCGGAAATTTTTGCGATAGAAATGAAGTAAGTGTTATTCGGTCTAACGAAACTCTGCCATTGGGATTAGCTTGGGTTAGAACACTTTGCTTACATAGAACCGGGTTATATTCATCGGCGAAATCAATCCTCTTATGTAGCAACCCTTTAATAATAGGTTATAAGAATATTTACTTAGCCTTTTATAAGCATTTAAAGTATTCTATTTGATTTTTAAAGCAATTGGTGCCGTAGTTAATGAGATTCTAGAATTAGGTCAAAAGTGGGGGCCAAAACTTAATATCTCAATAACCACAAGGTTAATTGCTTTAAAATCCAAACAAGCTCTTTAAACGCCTATAAAAAATGAAGTACAAATTTTTATAACCTATTATTAAAGGGTTGTTGAGATATTAAGTTACGAAATTCGTGGTTTAAGGCGTAAAATGCGGTGTGTCATTCGCTGTGTTGTGACAGGCCGTGGCTCGGAACGCAGCACTTTGTTCCCGAACATCTCAATCGCTCTAAAAGAGGATGTAGAAGCCAAAACGGAGACTGCTTTCAGCGCATTTCGAAAGGCGTTGCTTCCAGTACTCGCTGCCATTAGGAACGATATTGAGATGGCATTCGCTGCGGAGCTAAAGCCTTTAGACAAAGCGTACAAGGAGCGTAAAAACGAGGAGAGACGGTGAGCAGAGCTTGCTAGCAAGATTCAAGTGTTGAAAAGGTATCGCAGGGAATTGCTTGGAAGAATTGGATACAATCAAGGTTGAAGACTCGCGGGTCATAGAGACCAAGGTGGGGAACAAGATGCCACAAATTCTTCCACTAACTGGGGAATCTACTCATATTTTGATATTTTTCGTAAGTATTTCTTCAACCGTCCAAAGGAATACATTTATCGGCGAATCACACGTCATTCCGATTTTTCATCCTTTCGAGTTGGTGTTGAGGCCAATTTGTGCTTCTTTTCAATATCTATATGGTATGGGGCTAAACAAATAATAAAATATCAATTAAAGCATTCTGCCACACAAAATTGACTCATGAATGACCTTCGTGCAAGTAAAGTATTCTCATGGTAACTATTATCATCCCATATAAAATATGACAGTATAAAGACTGCATATCAGCGGATACCAAAAAATTGCTCAACAAAGCGCCCGCAACTGCAAATCCAGAATACAGAATACTTCATCTGGATTCAACAATACATTCTAATTAAAGCCAAAACTAAATGACATGCTCTGCTAAAATCGCGCAGTATACAATATTCAAACCCCGAGCCCCATTTTCCATATTCGTTGTGTCCATGGCCTGCCTATGGCCGTCATCGTATCGACATAGCTCGTTACCGTGTGCTCATATTCAGTGTATCCAGCCTCGATCTCCATTTTGATTACCATCACAAACTTGCTGCCCTCTTTCTCTTCGTGCCTTGTTCGATTCCGTTCCCCTCGCCAACGCTAAGACACATAAGCATCAGCGCCGCACTCTTCTCCTCTTCGCCCACCCCTTTCTCAAGAGATGAGTTAACCTTTGCAAGCCACGCAACGTTGTCTGAGCTCCCATTTTGGCTCTCCACGTCTTCGATTACCTCCCTATCCCCCTTTACCCGCTTTGGGCTGACATTTGGGCTGCCATCACTATCCGCATCATAAACCTCCTCATCCATACCAACCCCTCTGATCCCCAACCCAACCATTCCACGAGGTCTCATTGGTGAAAGAGTGTTTTGGTTCATAGCCGGGCCCCCAAACCCGTGCTCACCTGCAGTGCGAGGTATGGCGCTTAGCCAAGGGCTCGCAACCGGACTTTGGTTTGGAGTCGCAGGATACGGTGGAGTTGGAGGGTGTTGGAGGGCTCGAGACCTCCAACCCGGCACCTGGCGCTGTATTTCATGCTCTCTCGAGGTGATTTTCCCATTAGCCGAAAAAGCAGTCTTGTTTTGCTGCGCAAATCGCACCTGGGGATGCGAGTTCGCCGTTGTCCAACCGGACGAGGTGTAGCCTGAAGCAGGAGATGATGGAAGAGGGGTGTATGCTGTCATTGGCGTGGGCGGACCGGAGAACTGTGCTCGGTCAAATTTTTGGTATGGCATGCTAGTCTCGGACTCCGTGTCAGTGATTTCGCCGCGAAGGGGCCCTCGGCGTTTTGGCTTCAGCCTCTTCGTGGCTTGCTCGTGGACCAGGGGAAAATCATTGGGTGTACTTCGGGGTGACACAGAGTCAATTGTTCGAACCGTTCGCTGGTTAGGACTGGGCGTCGGATTTTGAGATGCGGGTGAAGATGGGTTGGACGTGGGACCATTTGTGGCAGCAGAACGGAAGGCTATAGCTTCTTTGGTGCCATGGATAATGACCGATGGGTCGATAACCATTCGCCCACAGAGAGGGGACTCGTTGGGTGTGCATTGTGATGGGAAACTAGGCCCGAATATCGGGATGAGAGCGCCGGCGATGTTGGCACAGAAGGTTGCGCATAATGCCATGGCACATGGATATGGCATCCAGTATCCTTCACCATGTCAGATTATTTGTCCGAAATGCTGGAAGAACAGGCCATACCTTGAGCAGCAAGTGCACCTCCTGTGATGCTGTGGGTAATTTCTTTGAGCCCCGGATTCATATTAAGCATCTTGGCTGGAATGGTCTGCGGTTCATTAGAAAGTGTGGTAGTTTCGAGAACAGAGAGGCGAACCTTCGAGTAATTACAGCACTTGAAGAAAGGCGTAATACGGACAAGCCCGATATTGTAGTCCCACATTACCGTGTGTTCTTTCTCTTCTCCTGGAAGTCGGAACGTGTATTGGAAAACTGATAGTGATGTCAGCAATGCCAAGAATATATATTGCAATCCTACCTTCAAAGCTGTGTCGACCAGTTTTCTCAAGGAAGCTTTTCTTCTCGCTGTTGTATGGGATATGGCGAGGATATTTCACAATCTCTCCGAGGGGAAACACCTTGTACTTCTGGACTTCCCGAGCGCTCTCTGGGTCAAGGTTCTCAAACGGAGGAAACATGACAGTTCCCATAACCTTGCCTTTAAAAAAGACAGCACCATCTTTACTCATCTTAGATTTTGCTGAAGACTGTAGGCCACTGGGTCGCGGGCTTTCGTTTGGAGATAGATGCGAATAGTAAGATGGAGAGCTCGAAGGTAAACCAATCCATCGAGACTCTGAGGTAGATATGGGGTTGAGAAGCGAAGACAAGGAAAGCATAGCGCTGAAGAGAACTGCTGCTGGCCCTTCCGACGAGCTATTGAAGGTCTCAGACGGTGTTCCAGAATAAGTTGTAAGTCGTTGGCTCCGACTTTTAAAGCAATGCAGTCAACTTGATGTCGATGGTTGAGTCCTTGGAATGAATGAGTGAGGATATAGATGCCCAGTCAACCCCATGCAAGCAGCCTTGGAAGGCTCGGAATAAAGATTCAAAGAGCACTGGAAAGAAAAATTCTTGGGTCGGTTCTGGATATGTGAGTTTTCTCGGCGGGGTCTACGGCCCTTGGTGGTGGTGTCTTAGTGATAGCCAGTGAACATATGAGACTCCGTTTGCACGCACACTAATATTTATGAGCCGAGGGTTGCTAGGTGAACATGCAGGATTATGCAGGCTCTTGAAAGGGCTGTCTGCGTGTTAACGTGTCTTCCTTTATTTGTCGCGCTGTTCAAGGGTAAGAGATGATTCTTATCAACGGATCCAAGGGGCCATTCAACGGCGTTTCAGGGGCTCCATCAGGATGACAAGCCGCCAGCGAATACTGGAGGTAAATACGATAACAGTCCGCATCCTCGTCCGCTATGCCTATCCACATAACCCCAGACGGACGGCAAAGTCTCCCTTGGTGATGGAACATGGTACAGCTTCGAGAAAATTAGTCTCAGTAGGTCCCAGTAGCTGCAAGTTTCCAGTCGAAAGAGTTTCTGGCTGGCTGCTTGGATGGACAGGGGTCTATTTCTACCCCGATGAAACCGTGGTTTGACAGCAGCACACAAATTCTAACGCCGTAACGGGAGGAAGTAGTGTTTGAATGGGGTTAGGCGAATATGTGGTTACGGGTGGTGGCTGCAGGACAGGCGGATAGCTGCATATTTATGCAGCAGAATTGCCGCATGGATGTGTTTCCGGCCCTGACTCTTGTGGCTGGGGAGAAAGAAAGTGCCTATCACAGCATCTTCCGTAGTAAGACAACTTGATTGACTCGATGCAAGGAGCAGGGTAGCTTGGTGCTTGCTATCGTTGAGGTTGACATCTCGGTGTCAGAAGTCATGTAAGAATGTGCCAAAGGAATATATCCCGTCTCTTTTTTATTAACATTTCCGGATTTGATCATGCTTCTTGTCGGCGTGAGCATCCGTATATTGCATATGCCATCAAAGACAGGAGTGTAGCTCCGCAAGGAAGTTTCCATAGCCATTCGAGAAGCTTGTTAAGGAAGGATTGCTATTCCCCAAATAATGGCATGTATTTGTCATTGCTTTGACTCTGATGACCCACAGGACAGCCATGCAAGTAGGCGCGTCTGAAATCCAGCGTCCCCATGCCGTCATGTCTTGCAACGCCGAAGATTTTGAGCTGGCAAAGGTTCATCGCGGCTAGTCTCTCTCGCTGGCCAACAGGAGAGGGGACCTCGAAGAGAGAGTTGAGGTCATGCACAGAATAAAGAGCCGAAGGATGATACCGCAGTAGAATACTACCATCGGAACCTAGAAATCAATAAGAACATAAGAGGGAGTCTTATTTCAAGATATCGTATCCGCTCACCTGGACGATCTGGGACCCGACAATGGATTCTTAATGTGAGAGTATTGCAACGTAGAGGATTATCATATTGAGGATTTACTGTGCTTGACCCAGAACCGGAACCAGTTCAAGCTAGGGCACGGCTTTTCTCCCACGAGTTGCCCCGGGGCCAGGCCATAGTTGGCAATCCCCAATTCTTCGAGTCGGCAAGATGTTGAAAGTTGGCGATAGCTATTGCCAGAAATCTGCAGTTAACCGTTGCGTTGATCTGGACTACCCACGTGGCTCGAGCCAACCACTTTCCAGAGCTGCTACTGT